CCCTTGGGATCCCACATCCTGTTGGGTTCCTGCCCCAGGGGTCCCACATCCCATCGGGGTCCCACATCCCATTGGGTTCCCTCATCCCCTGGAGGCCCCACATCCCATTGGGGTCCTACATCCCCCAGGGGTCCCGCATCCCCTGGAGGCCCCATATCTCATGGGGTGCCACATCCCATGCGTTCCCACATCCCGTTGGAATTCCCTCATCCCCCATGGGTCCCACATCCCTTGGCGTCCCACATCCCAATGGGTTCCCGCATCCCCCAGGGTCCCACATCCCTTGGGGTCCCACAACCCATTGGGTTCCCACATCCCCTGGAGGCCCCACGTCCCATTGGGGTCCCGCGTCCCATTGGGGTCCTGCATCCCCTTGGAGGACCCACATCCCATGGGGTCTCACATCCCATTGGGGTCCCACATCCCGTTGGGTTCCCACATCCCTTGGGGTACCACATCCTTTGGGGTCCCACAACCCCCTGTGTTCCCACATCCCCTGGAGGCCCCACATCCCGTTCGGGTCCCACATCCCGTTGGGTTCCCACATCCTCTGGTCGCCCCACATCCCATTGGGGTCCCACCACCCCCTGTGTTCCCACATCCCCTGGAGGCCCCACATCCTGTTCGGGTCCCACATCCCATTGGGTTCCCTCATCTCCTGGGTGTCCCACATCCCATTGGGTTCCCACTTCCCTTGGGATCCCACATCCTATTGGGTTCCTGCATCCCATGGGTTCCCACATCCCATGGAGGCCCTGCATCCTATTGGGTTCCCACAACCCCCTGTGTTCCCACACCCCGTTGGGTTCCCACACCCCATTGGGTTCCCACACCCCATTGAGTTCCCACATCCCCTGGAGGCCCCACATCCCATTGGGTTCCCTCTTCCCATTGGGGTCCCACCACCCCCTGTGTTCCCGCATCCCATTGGGGTCCCACATCCCATTGAGTTCCCGCATCCCTTGGGGTCCCACATCCCGTTGGGTCCCCACATCCCATTGGGTTCCTCCATGCCCTGGAGGCCCCACATCCCATTCGGGTCCCACAATCCATTGGGGTCCCACCTCCCTTGGAGGCCCCACATCCCATTGGGGTCCCGCATCCCATTGGGTTCCTGCATCCCCCAGGTATCCCACATCCCATGGGGTCCTCACATCCCTTGCGGTCCCACATCCCATTGGGTTCCCGCATCCCATTTGGGTCCCGCATCCCATTGGGGTCCTGCATCCCCTTGGAGGCCCCACATCCCATTGGGGTCCCACATCCTGTTGGGTTCCCACATCCCATGGGTTCCCACAACCCCTGGAGGCCCCACATCCCCTTGGCTTCCCACCATCCCCTGTGTTCCCACATCCTGTTGGGGTCCCACATCCCATTGGGTTCCCGCATCCCATTGGGTTCCCACATCCCATTGGGTTCCCGCATCCCATTGGGTTCCCGCATCCCATTGGGTTCCCACATCCCATTGAGTTCCCACATCCCCTGGAGGCCCCACATCCCATTGGGGTCCCACATCCCCCAAGTGTCCCACATCCCATTGGGGTCCCTCATCCCATTGGGGTCCTGCATCCCCTGGAGGCCCCACATCCCATGGGGTCTCACATCCCTTGGGGTCCCACATCTCATGGGTTCCCGCATCCCCCAGGGTCCCACATCCCTTCAGGTCCCACAACCCATTGGGTTCCCACATCCCCTGGAGGCCTCACGTCCCATTGGGGTCCCGCATCCCATGGGCTCCCACATCCTCTGGAGGCCCCACATCCCCTTGGCTTCCCACCACCCCCTGTGTTCCCACATCCCATTGGGTTCCTGCATCCCATGGTGTCCCCACATCCCCTGGAGGCCCCACATCCTGTTGGGGTCCCGCATCCCATTGGATTCCTGCATCCCCTGGAGGCCCCACATCCCATTGGGGTCCCACACCCCCTGGAGGCCCCACATCCCCTTGGCTTCCCACCGTCCCCTGTGTTCCCACATCCCATGGGGTCCCACAACCCATTGGGGTTCTGCATGCCCTGGAGGCCCCACATCCCATTGGGGTCCCACATCCTGTTGGGTTCCCACATCCCATGGGTTCCCACAACCCCTGGAGGCCCCACATCCCCTTGGCTTCCCACCACCCCCTGTGTTCCCACATCCCATTGGGGTCCCACATCCCATTGAGTTCCCACATCCCCTGGAGGCCCCACATCCCATTTGGTTCCCTCTTCCCATTAGGGTCCCACCACCCCCTGTGTTCCCACATCCCATTGGGGTCCCACATCTCCTGGGGTTCCCACATCCCATTGAGTTCCCACATCCCCTGGAGGCCCCACATCCCATTGGGTTCCCACCACCCCCTGTGTTCCCACACCCCATTGGGTTCCCGCATCCCTTGGGGTCCCACATCCCATTGAGTTCCCACATCCTGTTGGGGTCCCACATCCCGTTGGGTCCCCACATCCCATTGGGTTCCTGCATGCCCTGGAGGCCCCACATCCCATTGGGTTCCCACCACCCCCTGTATTTCCACATCCCATTGGAGTCCCACATCCCATGGGTTCCCACATCTCCTGGGGTTCCCACATCCCATTGGGGTCCCATATCCCCTGGAGGCCCCACATCCCATTGGGTTCCCTCTTCCCATTGGGGTCCCACCACCCCCTGTGTTCCCACACCCCGTTGGGTTCCCACATCCCATTGGGGTCCAACATCCCCCAGGGGTCCCACATCCTGTTGGGTTCCCGCATCCCATTGGGTTCCTGCATCCCATGGGGTCCCACATCCCCTGGAGGCCCCACATCCCATTGGGGTCCCACACCCCATTGGGTTCCCACATCCCATGGGGTCCCACATCCCCTGGAGGCCCCACATCCCGTTGGGTCCCCACATCCCATTGGGGTCCCACATCCCATTGGATTCCCGCATCCCCTGGAGGCCCCACATCCTGTTGGCTCCCCACACCCCCTGCGTTCCCACCCCCCCATGGGGCCGGCAGGCTGCCGTGGGTCCCGGCGCCGTCTCCCCACCCCCCCCTCACCCCCCACCCCCCCTTTTTTCCACCCAGGCCTCAAGAGGAACCCTTGCTGGGTGGAGCGTTTCAACGTTCAGTTCCTGGGCTCGGTGGAGGTGCCGTACCACCAGGGCAACGGCATCCTGTGCGCAGCCATGCAGAAGGTGAAGCCGGGGGGGGCACCGGGGGGGGGGGGGCCGGCCCCGATTTTGACCGTTTGAGACCCCCAAATCCCCCCCCCCCCCCTTTCCCCCCTTCCCCCCATAGATTGCCACCACCAGGAAGCTGACGGTTCACCTGCGCCCCCCGGCCAGCTGCGACCTGGAGATCACATTGCAGGGCATCAAACTCATCCTGACGGTCAATGAGTTCAGCCGGGATGAGGAGGTGAAAGGGGGGTGTGAAGGAAAGGGGGGGGGGGGTCCCAAATCCACCCCACGCTGCAGCTTTTGGGCTCTTCCCTTCCAGTTCGAGCGCTGCAGCCACTTCTTCCAGATGAAGAACATCTCCTTCTGCGGCTGCCACCCCCGTAACAGCTGGTGAGCCCCCCCCCCCAATCCCATGGTGCATCACGGGGGTCTCCCGACCCACAGGACCCCCCCCCCAGCCTCACCTTGTGCCCCCCCCCCCCCCCCCCCCCTTGCAGCTACTTTGGGTTCATCACCAAGCACCCGGTGCTGAGCCGCTTCGCCTGCCATGTCTTCGTCTCCCAGGAATCCATGCGGCACGTCGCCGAGTGCGTCGGGTAGGTGGGGGGGGGGGGGTCTTCGGGGGGGGGGATGGGGGGCAGGGGTCTCTGGGGGGGGGGGGGACATGGGGATTGGGATGGGGGGGGGATGGGGGATGTTGGGGTGCAAATGGAGCCACGGCTGGGGGTTGAGGGGGGACAGAATGGGGGCCCTGGGGGGAGGATGGGGGATGGGGGGGGGGTCCTGGAGAGAGGGTGGGAGATGTGGGGGGTGGGGATGGGGGTCCCGGGGGGAGGGTGGGGGATGAGGGGGGGGGGGGTGCTGGGGGTGGGTGGGGGTCTCGGGGGGGGGTGGGGGACATGGGGATTGGGATGGGGGGTGGATGGGGGATGGGGGGGGTGGGGATGGGGGTCCTGGTGGGTGGGCGGGGGTCTCGGTGCGGGGGGGGGGGGGGGGAGACATGGGGATTGGGATTGGGGGTGGATGAGGGATGGGGGTCCTTGGGGGTGGGAGGGGGGCTCGGGGGGGGGGGGACATGGGGATTGAGATGGGGGGTGGATGGGGGATGTTGGGGTGCAAATGGAGCCACGGCTGGGGGTTGAGGGGGGACAGAATGGGGGGTCGTGGGGGGCAGATGGGGATGTGGGGGGGGTGGGAATGGGGGTCCTGGGGGGAGGGTGGGGGTCTCGGGGGGGGGGGGGACATGGGGATTTGGATGGGGGGTGGATGGGGGATGGGGGCGGTGGGGATGGGGGTCCTGGGGGGTGGGTGGGGGTCTTGGGGGGGGGGACAGACATGGGGATTGGGGTGGGGGGTGGATGGGGGATGTTGGGGTACAAATGGAGCCAGGGCTGGGGGTTGAGGGGGGACAGAATGGGGGGTCCTGGGGGGAGGATGGGGGATGGGGGGTTGTGGGGTTCCTGGGGGCAGGGTGGGAGATGTGGGGAGTGGGGATGGGGGTTCTGGGGGGTGGGTGGGGGTCTTAGGGGGGGGGACGGGACATGGGGATTGGGGTGGGGGGTGGATGGGGGATGTTGGGGTGCAAACGGAGCCACGGCTGGGAGTTGAGGGGGGACAGAATGGGGGGTCGTGGGGGGAGAATGGGGGATGGGGGGGGGGGGGGGTCCTGCGGGGAGGATGGGGGATGGGATGGGGCTGGGGCTGGGGGTCCTGGGGAGTGGCTGGGGGGATGGGGTTGGGGGGGAGTTCTCGGGGGGGCAGATGGGCCGGGGGTCAAGGGTCAGGGGTCAGGGGTCAGAGGTCAGGGGTCAGGTTGCGCTCCCCTCCCTGAGTCGCCCCTGCCGTGGCAGCCGCGCGTTTCAGGAATATTACCAGGAGCACCTGGAGTACGCCTGCCCCACAGAGGACATTTACCTGGAGTAAGGGGGCCAGTGGGGGGGGGGGGGGAAGGGGGGGGGGTCTTCTGCTCTTCCCCCCCCCCCCCCCCCCCCAGAGACTCTGTCTGACCCCAACGGCAGCCGGCTTGGCTCCTCCCGCTCCCATCACCGCGCATCCTCACTGCTTCCCCCCTGGGGCTGAGGGCTGGGGGCCGGGGCCGCGCTGTGCTCGTGTGGGGAGGGGGCAACACGGCGTTTGAGGGGGGGGGGGGGGAGAGGGATGGAAGGAGGGGGGGGGGGAGCGTTGGCCGCCCCCCTGCTTGAGAAACCGACGCAGGCACAGAATGGGGGACGGGGAGGGGAGGTGTTGGGGTGAGCAGGATGGGGGGGGGGGGGGCAGCCCTGGGGGTCCCACAGTGGGGGGAAGCGGGGGGGGGGGGGGAGGTGGTGGGGGGTGGGCAGTGGGGGGGGCATCCGTGTGTGGGGCCGAACTTCACCCTCGCGCTGCCCCCCAGCTCCGCAATGCCCCCCCCCCAACCCCCCTCCTCAAAGGTTCCCTCCTGCCTTCACACGATGCCCCCCCCCCCTGGCTGCAGGGCTTCCCCTTCCCCCCCCCCCCCTCGCCCCCAGCCTCACGCTGCCCCCCCCCAACCCCATTCTGGGTCCGTGCCGGGGGGGGGGCAGAGGGGCCGGCGCTGGGACCCCAACCCCATCCCCAATAACCCCCCCCTCCCCCCCCCCGGGCCTGAATGTATTCAAACCAAGAGAGGAAAACCCGCGGGCGGGGGGGGGGGGGGGGGAGAGGAAGAGGAAGAGGAAGGGGAAGGGGAAGGGGAAGGGGAGGGGGGGGGGACGGTTCAACCCCCCCCCCATTGCTGTGCCTGGTGATTTCTTTTGCTTGCCGGCCCCCCATTCCGACCCGTGCTCGTTTCGTGCCGCCGCTCGATGTTCCGATATTTATCTCCCCCCTCCGCCACCACCGCGAGGCGTCCCGAGCAGCTGTCACTTGTACAAAGCACCCCCCCGACCCCCCCCCGGTTAAGGTTCGCCCCCCACTTTCCCCCCCCCAGCGCCTTGTCATCCACTTGGTCCTTCAATAAAATATATGCTTGGTGTGAGCGCGGCTCACAGAAATTGGGGGGGGGCTGGGGGGGGGGTTGGGGGTGATGAGGGCAGCTGGGGGGGGGAATGGAGAAGAAAGGAAGGAGCAGCGAGAGGAGGAAGGAGGAGAAGCTGCACCCATGGCTGGACGTGCCCTATGGCTCTCAAGGTGCCTCTGTGGGTCCCTATGGGTCCCAGTGTGTCTCTATGGGTCCCAATGTGTCGCTATGGCTCTCAAGGTGCCTCTATGGGTCCCAACGTGTCTCTGTGGGTCCCAATGGGTCCCAATGTGTCTCTATGGCTCCCCATGTGTCTCTATGAGTCCCAATGGGTCTCTATGGCTCTCTATGGGTCCCAATGGGTCCCAATGTGTCTCTATGGGTCCCAACGTGTCTCTATGGGTCCCAATGTGTCTCTATGGCTCTCAAGGTGCCTCTATGGGTCCCAATGTGTCTCTATGGCTCTCAAGGTGTCTCTATGGGTCCCAATGTGTCTCTATGGCTCTCAAGGTGCCTCTCTGGGTCCCAATGGGTCCCTATGGGTCCCAACGTGTCTCTATGGGTCCCAATGTGTCTCTATGGCTCTCAAGGTGTCTCTATGGGTCCCAATGTGTCTCTATGGCTCTCAATGTGTCTCTATGGGTCCCAATGGGTCCCAATGGGTCCCTATGGGTCCCAACGGGTCTCTATGGATCCCAACGTGTCCTCTATGGGTCCCAATGGGTCCCAACGTGTCTCTATGGGTCCCAATGGGTCCCAATGTGTCTCTATGGGTCCCAACGTGTCTCTATGGGTCCCCAACGTGTCTCTATGGCTCCCAATGTGTCTCTATGTGTCTCTATGGGTCTCTATGTGTCTCTATGGTCCTAACATGTCTCTATGGGTCCCAATGTGTCTCTATGGGTCTCTATGGGTCCCAATATGTCTAAACCCCGACCCCCACCCGGTTAAGGTTCGCCCCCCACTTCCCAACCCCAGCGCCTTGTCATCCACTTGGTCCTTCAATAAAATATATGCTTGGTGTGAGCGCGGCTCACAGAAATTGGGGGGGGGCTGGGGGGGGGGGTTGGGGGTGATGAGGGCAGCTGGGGGGGGAATGGAGAAGAAAGGAAGGAGCAGCGAGAGGAGGAAGGAGGAGAAGCTGCACCCATGGCTGGACGTGCCCTATGGCTCTCAAGGTGCCTCTGTGGGTCCCTATGGGTCCCAATGTGTCTCTATGGGTCCCAATGTGTCGCTATGGCTCTCAAGGTGCCTCTATGGGTCCCAATGTGTCTCTGTGGGTCCCAGTGTGTCTCTATGGCTCTCAATGTGTCTCTATGGGTCCCAATGGGTCCCTATGGGTCCCAACGTGTCTCTATGGATCCCAACGTGTCTCTATGGCTTCCCATGTGTCTCTATGAGTCCCAATGTGTCTCTATGGGTCTCTATAGGTCCCAATGTGTCTCTATGGGTCTCTATGGGTCCCAATGTGTCTCTATGTGTCTCTATGGGTCCCAATGGGTCCCAATGTGTCTCTATGTGTCTCTATGGGTCCCAATGGGTCTCTATGGGTCCCAACGGGTCTCTATGGGTCCCAATGGGTCCCAGTGTGTCTCTATGGGTCCCAATGTGTCTCTATGGCTCTCAATGTGTCTCCATGGGTCCCAATGGATCCCAATGTGTCTCTATGGGTCCCAATGTGTCTCTATGGCTCTCAAGGTGCCTCTATGGGTCCCAACGGGTCCCAACGTGTCTCTATGGGTTCCAATGGGTCCCAATGTGTCTCTATGGGTCTCAAGATGTCTCTATGGGTCCCAATGGATCCCAACGTGTCTCTATGGGTCCCAATGTGTCTCTATGGCTCTTAGTGTGACTCCATGGGTCCCAATGGATCCCAACGTGTCTCTATGGGTCCCAATGTGTCTCTATGAGTCTCAATCTGTGTCTATGGCTCTCCAGGTGTCCCTATGGGTCCCAATGTGTCTCTATGGGTCTCCACGGGTTCCAATGTGTCTCTATGGCTCTCAAGGTGCCTCTATGGGTCCCAATGGGTCCCAACGGGTCTCTATGGGTCCCAATTGGTCCCTATTGGTCCCAATGTGTCTCTATGGCTCTCAGTGTGTCTCTATGGCTCCCAATGTGTCTCTATGGGTCCCAACGTGTCTCTATGGGTCTCTATGTGTCTCTATGGTCCTAACATGTCTCTATGGGTCCCAATGTGTCTCTATGGGTCTCTATGGGTCCCAACATGTCTAAAACACCCCCCCCCCCCCCCGGTTAAGGTTCGCCCCCCACTTTCCCCCCCCCAGCGCCTTGTCATCCACTTGGTCCTTCAATAAAATATATGCTTGGTGTGAGCGCGGCTCACAGAAATTGGGGGGGGGGGGGGGGGGGTTGGGGGGTGATGAGGGCAGCTGGGGGGAGGGGGGGGGATGAGGGTGATGGGGGGGGAATGGAGAAGAAAGGAAGGAGCAGCGAGAGGAGGAAGGAGGAGAAGCTGCACCCATGGCTGGACGTGCCCTATGGCTCTCAAGGTGCCTCTGTGGGTCCCTATGGGTCCCTATGGATGCCAACGTGTCTCTATGGGTCCCAATGGGTCCCTATGGGTCCCAATGTGTCTCTATGGGTCCCAACGTGTCTCTATGGGTCCCATTGTGTCTCTATGGGTCCCAATGTGTCTCTATGGGTCCCAATGTGTCTCTATGGGTCCCAATGTGTCTCTATGGGTCCCAACGTGTCTCTATGGGTCCCAATGTGTCTCTATGGGTCCCAATGTGTCTCTATGGGTCCCATTGTGTCTCTATGGGTCCCAATGTGTCTCTATGGGTCCCAATGTGTCTCTATGGGTCCCATTGTGTCTCTATGGGTCCCAATGTGTCTCTATGGGTCCCATTGTGTCTCTATGGGTCCCAACGTGTCTCTATGGGTCCCAATGTGTCTCTATGGGTCCCATTGTGTCTCTATGGGTCCCAATGTGTCTCTATGGGTCCCAACGTGTCTCTATGGGTCCCAACGTGTCTCTATGGGTCCCATTGTGTCTCTATGGGTCCCAATGTGTCTCTATGTGTCTCTATGGCTCCCAACGTGTCTCTATGGCTCCCATTGTGTCTCTATGGGTCCCATTGTGTCTCTATGGGTCCCATTGTGTCTCTATGGGTCCCAACGTGTCTCTATGGGTCCCAATGTGTCTCTATGGGTCCCAATGTGTCTCTATGGGTCCCATTGTGTCTCTATGGGTCCCAACGTGTCTCTATGGGTCCCATTGTGTCTCTATGGGTCCCATTGTGTCTCTATGGGTCCCAGTGTGTCTCTATGGGTCCCAATGTGTCTCTATGGGTCCCAGTGTGTCTCTATGGGTCCCAATGTGTCTCTATGGGTCCCAACGCGTCTCTATGGGTCCCAATGGGTCCCAGTGTGTCTCTATGGGTCCCAACGTGTCTCTATGGGTCCCAATGTGTCTCTATGGGTCCAAATGGGTCCCAGTGTGTCTCTATGGGTCCCATTGTGTCTCTATGGGTCCCAACGCGTCTCTATGGGTCCCATTGTGTCTCTATGGGTCCCATTGTGTCTCTATGACTCCCAGTGGGTCCCAGTGTGTCTCTACGGATCCCAATGTGTATCTATGGGTCCCAGTGTGTCTCTATGGGTCCCATTGTGTCTCTATGGGTCCCATTGTGTCTCTATGGGTCCCAACGTGTCTCTATGGGTCCCATTGTGTCTCTATGGATCCCAACGTGTCTCTATGGGTCCCATTGTGTCTCTATGGGTCCCAATGTGTCTCTATGGGTCCCAACGTGTCTCTATGGGTCCCAACGTGTCTCTATGGGTCCCATTGTGTCTCTATGGGTCCCAACGCGTCTCTATGGGTCCCATTGTGTCTCTATGGGTCCCAACGTGTCTCTATGGGTCCCAAAGTGTCTCTATGGGTCCCAACGTGTCTCTATGGGTCCCAAAGTGTCTCTATGGGTCCCAATGTGTCTCTATGGGTCCCAGTGTGTCTCTATGTGTCCCATTGTGTCTCTATGGGTCCCAATGTGTCTCCATGGGTCCCATTGTGTCTCTATGGGTCCCAACGTGTCTCTATGGGTCCCATTGTGTCTCTATGGGTCCCATTGTGTCTCTATGGGTCCCAATGGGTCCCATTGTGTCTCTATGGGTCCCATTGTGTCTCTATGGGTCCCAACGTGTCTCTATGGGTCCCAATGTGTCTCTATGGGTCCCAGTGTGTCTCTATGGGTCCCAACGTGTCTCTATGGGTCCCAATGTGTCTCTATGGGTCCCAACGTGTCTCTATGGGTCCCAATGTGTCTCTATGGGTCCCCATGTGTCTCTATGGGTCCCATTGTGTCTCTATGGGTCCCAACGTGTCTCTATGGGTCCCAATGTGTCTCTATGGGTCCCATTGTGTCTCTATGGGTCCCAATGTGTCTCTATGGGTCCCATTGTGTCTCTATGGGTCCCAATGTGTCTCTATGGGTCCCAGTGTGTCTCTATGGGTCCCATTGTGTCTCTATGGGTCCCAAAGTGTCTCTATGGGTCCCAATGTGTCAAGGGAGGCGATCCTCCCCCTCTGCTCTGCCCTGCTGAGGCCTCACCTGGAGCACTGCGTCCAGTTCTGGGCTCCCCAGCACAAAACAGACAGGGAGCTCTTGGGAAGAGTCCAGCGGAGGGCCAAAAGATGGTGAGGGGCCTGGAGCATCTCTGCTATGGGGAAAGGCTGAGGGAACTGGGTCTGTTCAGCATGGAGGAAAGAAGGCTGGGAGGAGACCTGATCCAGGTCTATCAGCATCTGAGGTGTGGGGGGCAGAGACCTGCCTGGATGCCAACCTGTGCGACCTGCTGTATGGGTCCCAATGTGTCTCTATGAGTCTCAACATTTATCTATGGGTCCCAATGGGTCTCAGTGTGTCTCTATGGCTCCCAATGTGTCTCTATGGGTCTCTATGGGTCTCTATGTGTCTCTATGGTCCTAACATGTCTCTATGTGTCCCAATGTGTCTCTATGGGTCTCTATGGGTCCCAACATGTCTAAACCACCCCCCCCCTGTTAAGGTTCGCCCTCCACTTCCCCCCCCCAGCGCCTTGTCATCCACTTGGTCCTTCCATAAAATATATGCTTGGTGTGAGCGCGGCTCACAGAAATTGGGGGGGGGCTGGGGGGGGGTTGGGGGGTGATGAGGGCAGATGGGGGGGGAATGGAGAAGAAAGGAAGGAGCAGCGAGAGGAGGAAGGAGGAGAAGCTGCACCCATGGCTGGACGTGCCCTATGGCTCTCAAGGTGCCTCTGTGGGTCCCTATGGGTCCCAGTGTGTCTCTATGGGTCCCAATGTGTCTCTGTGGGTCCCAATGGGTCCCTATGGGTTCCAACGTGTCTCTATGGATCCCAACGTGTCTCTATGGCTTCCCATGTGTCTCTATGTGTCCCAATGTGTCTCTATGGGTCTCTATGGGTCCCAATGGGTCCCAATGTGTCTCTATGTGTCTCTATGGGTCCCAATGTGTCTCTATGGGTCTCTATGGGTCCCAACGGGTCTCTATGGGTCCCAATGGGTCCCAGTGTGTCTCTATGGGTCCCAATGTGTCTCTATGGCTCTTAGTGTGACTCCATGGGTCCCAATGGATCCCAACGTGTCTCTATGGGTCCCAATGTGTCTCTATGAGTCTCAATCTGTGTCTATGGCTCTCCAGGTGTCCCAATGGGTCCCAATGTGTCCCTATGGGTCCCAACGTGTCTCTGTGGGTCCCAATGGGTCCCAATGTGTCTCTATGGGTCCCAATGGGTCTCTATGGGTCCCAATGTGTCTCTATGGCTCTCAATGTGTATCCATTGGTCCCAATGGATCCCAAGGTGTCTCTATGGGTCCCAATGGGTTCCAACGTGTCTCTATGGGTCTCTGTGGGTCCCAATGTGTCTCTATGGGTCTCTATGGGTCCCCAACGTGTCTCTATGGCTCTCAATGTGTCTCTATGGGTCCCAATGGGTCCCAGTGTGTCTCTATGGGTCCCAATGTGTCTCTATGGGTCTCTATCTGTCTCTATGGTCGTAACATGTCTCTGTGGGTCCCAATGTGTCTCTATGGGTCCCAATGTTTCTCTATGGCTCTCAAGGTGTCTCTATGGCTCCCAATGTGTCTCTATGGGTCCCAACGTGTCTCTATGGGTCTCAAAGTGTCTCCATCGCTCTCAATGTGTCTCTGCGTGGGGATCCCAATGGGACGTGGGGACCTCAATGGGACATGGAAGATCCCAATGGGACATGGAGGAACCCCAATGGGACATGGAGGATCCCAATGGAACATAGAGGATCCCAATGGGACGTGGAGGATCCCAATGGGACATGGGGACCCCAGTGGGATGTGGAGGATCCCAATGGGTCGTGGAGACCTCAATGGACATGGCTACCTCAATGAGATGTGGAGGATCCCAATTGGTCGTGGGGACCTCAAAGGCACTCTGGTACCCCAATGGGACGTGGGGACCTCAATGGGATGTGAAGGATCCCAATGGGACATGGAGGAACCCAATGGGACATGGAGGAACCCAATGGGAAGTGGAGGAACCCAATGGGACATGGTGGATCCCAATGGGACATGGAGGAACCCAATGGGACATGGTGGATCCCAATGGGACATGGAGGAACCCAATGGGACGTGGGGACCTCAGTGGGAAATGGAGGATCCCAATGGGACATGGAGGATCCCAATGGGACATGGAGGAACCCAATGGGACGTGGGGACCCCAATGGGACATGGAGGAACCCAATGGGATGTGGAGGATCCCAATGGGACATGGAGGAACCCAATGGGACGTGGGGACCCCAATGGGACATAGAGGATCCCAATGGGATGTGGAGGATCCCAATGGGATGTGGAGGACCCCAATGGGACGTGGAGGACCTTAATGGGACATGGAGGACCTTAATGGGACATGGAGGACCCTAATGGGACATGGAGGATCCCAATCGGACATGGAGGAACCCAATGGGACATGGAGGATCCCAATGGGACATGGAGAAACCCAATGGGACGTGGAGGATCCCAATGGGTCGTGGAGACCTCAATGAGATGTGGAGGATCCCAATTGGTCGTGGGGACCCCAATGGGACGTGGAGGACTTTGATGGGACGTGGGGACCTCAAGGGAATGTGAAGGATCCCAATGGGACATGGAGGAACCCAATGGGACATGGAGGAGCCCTAAGGGTCATGGGGACCCCAATGGGATGTGGAGGATCCCAATGGGTCGTGGAGGACCTTAATGGGACATGGAGAAACCCAATGGGACCTGGAGACTTCAATGGGATGTGGAGGATCCCAATGGGACGTGGGGACCCCAATGGGACGTGGGGACCCCAATGGGAAATGGAGGACCCCAATGGAACATGGAGGAACCCAATGGAACATGGAGGATCTCAATGGGACATGGAGGACCCCAATGGGACATGGGGACCCCAATGGGATGTGGGGACCTCAATGGGACATGGAGGACTTTGATGGGACATGGAGGACTTTAATGGGACATGGGGACCTCAATGGGACATGGAGGATCCCAATGGGACATGGAGGAACCCAATGGGACATGGAGGATCCCAATGGGACATGGAGGATCCCAATGGGACATGGAGGAACCCAATGGGACATGGGGGATCCCAATGGGATGTGGAGGACCCCAATGGGACGTGGGGACCTCAGTGGGACTTGGGGACCCTAATGGGACATGGGGACCTCAATGGGACATGGAGGAACCCAATGGGAAGTGGAGGAACCCAATGGGACATGTAGGATCCCAATGGGATGTGGAGAAACCCAATGGGACATGGTGGATCCCAATGGGATGTGGAGGATCCCAATGGGACGTGGGGACCTCAATGGGACATGGGGACCCCAATGGGACGTGGGGACCCCAATGGGACGTGGGGACCTCAATGGGATGTGGAGGATCCCAATGGGACGTGGAGGATCCCAATGGGACATGGAGGAACCCAATGGGTCATGGGGACCCCAATGGGACGTGGGGACCCCAATGGGACGTGGGGACCTCAATGGGATGTGGGGACCCGTGGGGTCAGAGAGCGAGGAACGACGTGAAGCTTTCTTATAAATTTATTACATAATAATAATAATAATAATATAATATAAGAAACATAGATCTCTGTGGGGGATGTGTATCACAACGTCAAGGGCGGGAGGCGAATGGCCACACCTCCATGACTCTGGAGAAGGAGAAATCTCCTCCGAAAATCCATACAAAATTAAGGGTGAAGTCAAACTGACCCTGTAAAATTAAAAACGGAACGAAACAAAACAAACCAAAAAAAAAACCCACAGGTGAGTTCGTCCGGGTGGGATCGAGGGCGGAGGTGGGACGAGGCCCGCGGCTCCGCGCACGCGTGTGCGAGGTGCAGGCGTGTGGATGCACATGCAGAGTCCTGGTGAGTGTGCACGTGCCCGGGGGGCCGCGCGCGTGTGGGGATACACGCACATGTCTGCATGCAGGCCAGCAATGGGGGATGCACGTGTGCTGGAGGAAGAAAACCGGGCCGCACGGCGCTGCTGACCGAGCTGGGGGCCGCTGGTAACAAAGCACGGGGGCTTTGGCTGCCCGTGGCCATCAGACACAAAGCACAACGGGTTTGGTGCCCATGGTCATCAGCAATGATGTGCATTGGCTTTGGTTGCCCATGGCCATCAACTACAAAGCATGATGGCTTTGGCTGCCCATGGCCATCAGACACAAAGCACGATGACTTTGGTTGACCATGGCCATCAGCAACAAATCATAATGACTTTGGTTGCCCATGGCCATCAACCACAAAGCACAACGGGTTTGGTTGCCCATGGCCTTCAGCAATGATGTGCATTGGCTTTGGCTGCCCATGGCCATCAGCAACAAAGCACAATGGGTTTGGTTGCCCATGGCCATCAGCAGTGATGTGCATTGGCTTTGGTTGACCATGGCCATCAGCAACAAAGCACAACGAGTTTGGTTGCCCATGGCCATCAGCAATGATGTGCATTGGCTTTGGCTGCCCATGGCCATCAGCAACAAATCATAATGACTTTGGTTGCCCATGGCCATCAACCACAAAGCACGATGGCTTTGGCTGCCCATGGCCATCAGCAACAAAGCATGATGACTTTGGCTGCTCACGGCCATCAACCACAAAGCACGATGGCTTTAGCTGCCTATGACCATCAGCAATGATGCCCATTGGCTTTGGTTGCCCATGGCCATCAGACACAAAGCACAATGGGTTTGGTTGCCCATGGCCATCAGCAATGATGTGCATTGGCTTTGATTGACCATGGCCATCAGCAACAAATCATAATGACTTTGGTTGCCCATGGCCATCAGACACAAAGCATAATGGATTTGATTGCCTATGGCCATCAGCAATGATGTGCATTGGCTTTGGTTGACCATGGCCATCAGCAACAAATCATAATGACTTTGGTTGACCATGGGCATCAGCAACAAAGCATGATGGCTTTGGTTGCCCATGGCCATCAGCAATGATCTGCATTGGCTTTGGCTGCCCATGGCCATCAGCAGCAAAGCATGATGACTTTGGTTGCCCATGGCCATCAACTACAAAGCACGATGGCTTTGGCTGCCTATAGCCATCAGACACAAAGCATAATGGATTTGGTTGCCCATGGCCATCAGACACAAAGCACAATGGTTTTGGCTGCCTATGGCCATCAGCAACAAATCATAATGGATTTGGTTGCCCATGGCCATCAACTACAAAGCACGATGGCTTTGGCTGCCCATGGCCATCAGACACAAAGCATAATGGATTTGGTTGCCTATGGCCATCAGCAACAAAGCACGATGACTTTGGTTGCCCGTGGCCATCAGACACAAAGCACAATGGGTTTGGTTGCCCATGGCCATCAGCAATGATGTGCATTGGCTTTGGTTGCCCATGGGCATCAGCAACAAAGCATGATGACTTTGGCTGCTCATGGCCATCAACCACAAAGCACGATGGCTTTAGCTGCCCATGACTGGTTGCCCATGGCCATCAGCAATGATGTGCATTGGCTTTGGCTGCCCATGGCCATCAACCACAAAGCACAACGGCTTTGGTTGCCCATGGCCATCAGACACAAAGCATGATGACTTTGGCTGACCATGGCCATCAGCAACAAAGCACGATGGCTTTGGTTGCCCATGGCCATCAGACACAAAGCATAATGGATTTGGTTGCCTATGGCCATCAGCAACAAAGCACGATGGCTTTGGCTGCCCATGGCCATCAACCACAAAGCACAACGGGTTTGGTGCCCATGGCCATCAGCAGCAAAACTCATTGGCTTTGGTTGACCATGGCCATCAGCCACAAGTCATAATGGCTTTGGCTGCCCACGGCCATCAGCCACAAAGTGCGTTGGGTTTTGGTTCCTTTTGTTCCTAACGTCAGAGTTACAGAGGGGGGGGGGGGGTTATGAAGAAATGAGGATCGATGGGTTTTGGTTTGGACAAAGGAAAAATACCAACAACTTTTTTTTTTGTGTTTGTTTGCTTTGTTTTTTTCTTAAAAATTCCCTTCGAAGCCAGAAAAAAAAAATAATCAAAAAACCAAAAACCCCAAGAAGTGAAGTGTCTCCCTTTGTACAGAAGGAACCCAATGTCGAGAAGCCATGAGCATCACAGTGAGGGCAGCGGGCGCCGCGCGCTCGGCCTCCTCCTGAATGGCTTGTCAAAGCGAAGCGTCTCACTGGGTCCGGGATGCTCGGGGTGGATGATGCCAATGCCATCAGATCTAAGGTCAGAAAAGAGCTATCTACACGGGGCAAAAAAACCCTCTTTGCTTCAGCTGAGAGAAAAAAACCCAACGAAAATAAAGGTTAAGTAGCAGCAGCTGCTGGAGCTGAAACGGTGAGCTTCTGTCTGGGTGGGAGCAGAAATGAGGGGGGGATGCGACCACTGCCGGGGCCGATCCGCGCTCACTGCTGTGGGGAGCCGTGCGGGGCCGTCCCCAAAGGCCTGAGCCCACGATGGTGGAGCTCCGTGTGCATCCGGCCATGGAGGGGGTGGGCAAGGAGATGGGAGGGAGAGGAAAGGACGGGCAATGAGATGGGAGGGTGAGAATAGAAGGGATGGGAAATGAGATGGGAGGAGGAGGAATAGAAGGGATGGGAAATGAGATGGGAGGGTGAGAATAGAAGGGATGGGAAATGAGATGGGAGGAGGAATAGAAGGGATGGGAAATGAGATGGGAGGAGGAATAGAAGGGATGGGAAATGGGACGGGAGGAGGAGGAGTAGAAGGGATGGGAAATGGGATGGAAGGAGGAATAGAAGGGATGGGAACTGAGATGGGAGGAGTAGAAGGGATGGGAACTGAGATGGGAGAAGGAATAGAAGGGATGGGAAATGAGATGGGAGGATGGGGAATAGAAGGGATGGGAACTGAGATGGGAAAAGGAGGAATAGAAGGGATGGGAACTGAGATGGGAGGAGGAGGAATAGAAGGGATGGGAAATGGGATGGATGAGGAACAGAAGGGATGGGAACTGAGATGGGAGGAGGAGGAATAGAAGGGATGGGAAATGGGATGGATGAGGAACAGAAGGGATGGGAAATGGGATGGGAGGAGGAATAGAAGGGATGGGAACTGAGATGGGAGGAGGAGGAATAGAAGGGATGGGAACTGAGATGGGAGGAGGAATAGAAGGGATGGGAACTGAGATGGGAGGAGGAGGAAAGGATGGACAATGAGATGGGAGGGTGAGGAAAGGACAGGCAATGAGATGGGAGGGTGAGAATAGAAGGGATGGGAAATGAGATGGGAGGAGGAGGAAAGGATGGACAATGAGATGGGAGGGTGAGGAAAGGACGGGCAATGAGATGGGAGGGTGAGAATAGAAGGGATGGGAAATGAGATGGGAGGAGGAGGAGTAGAAGGGATGGGAACTGAGATGGGAGGAGGAATAGAAGGGATGGGAACTGAGATGGGAGGGTGAGGAATAGAAGGAATAGAAGATTCTATGATTCTATGATTCTATGATTCTATGGGAGGAGGAGTAGAAGGGATGGGAACTGAGATGGGAGGAGGAGGAGTAGAAGGGATGGGAACTGAGATGGGAAGAGGAATAGAAGGGATGGGAAATGGGATGGGAGGAGGAATAGAAGGGCTGGGCACTGAGATGGGAAGATAAAGCTGCGGAGGAGACGGGCACTGAGGAGGTGGCGCTGCTCCGTGCTGGAAGCAGGGTTTGGCGCAGACCCGAGCAGCCGTGGGGACGGGGCGACGGCACGGCCGTGGTTGGGTGTCGCCTTCTTTTGTGTTTTCCTGACTGGGACGAGCCGTGGTGCCGTGGGGTCTTCGCCCCGTGGTCACCCAGTGTTTTCCAACACAGGCACGGCTGCAGCTGCTTGGCACGGTGGGAGCTGGGGGGCACACGGTGGCGCGGGCGCCGGGCAGAACTGTGTGCCCACCGTCCATCTCCAGCCCTGGGCGGGAGGACGGGGCAGCGGTGGGGGCGAGGAAGGCTTTTGGGAAATGGCAAGAAGGCGTCCAGCTTCCCGGTCCCAGACCGAACGTCCTGCAGAAAAGTTTCGCTCTGCAGGCTTCTGGCCCCTCGTGGCGAAGGGCGGCTGCAGGCGGGGGTCTCTGTGGGTCGCCCCAGAAGCAGCTGCGGAAGGGGCAGAGACCAGAACTCCTCAGACGGAGCCCGAGGAGCCGCCTGCACTCAGGGCAACACGGAACACTCCAACCTGTGCGCCGAGCGCTGGGGGCTCGCGGCCGTGCCGGGGGGATGCTGGGCAGCGGGACTGCGCTGCTCTGGGGGGGTGGGGGCTGCTGGGGTCTGCGTTACCTGCAGGAATGGGGAGAGGGAAATGGGGAGGGGGATGGGGATGGGGATAGGGGTAGGGATAGGGATGGGTTAGGGGTAGGGATGGGGGTAGGGATAGGGATAGGGATGGGGATGGGGATGGGGATGGGGATGGGGATGGGGATGGGGATGGGGATGGGGATGGGGATGGGGATAGGGATGGGGGTAGGGATAGGGGTAGGGGTAGGGATAGGGATAGGGATAGGGATAGGGATAGGGATAGGGATGGGGATGGGGATGGGGATAGGGGTAGGGATAGGGATGGGGATGGGGATAGGGATAGGGATAGGGATGGGGATAGAGATAGAGATAGGGGTAGGGATAGGGATGGGGATGGGGATAGGGGTAGGGATGGGGATGGGTTGGGTATAGGGATAGGGATAGGGATAGGGATAGGGATAGGGATAGGGATAGGGATAGGGATGGGGATGGGGATAGGGATAGGGATGGGGATGGGGATGGGGATAGGGATAGGGATGGGTTGGGGATAGGGAGAGGGGTAGGGATAGGGATAGGGGTAGGGATAGAGGTAGGGATAGGGGTAGGGATAGGGATGGGGATAGGGATGGGTTGGGGATGGGGATGGGGATGGGTTGGGGATAGGGATAGGGATGGGGATAGGGATAGGGATAGGGATAGGGATAGGGATAGGGATAGGGATAGGGATGGGGATGGGGATAGGGATAGGGATGGGGATAGGGATGGGTTGGGGATGGGGATGGGGATGGGTTGGGGATAGGGATAGGGATGGGGATAGGGATAGGGATAGGGATGGGGATAGGGATAGGGATAGGGATGGGGATAGGGATGGGTTGGGGATGGGGATGGGGATGGGTTGGGGATAGGGATAGGGATGGGGATAGGGATAGGGATAGGGATAGGGATAGGGATGGGGATGGGGATAGGGATGGGTTGGGGATGGAGATGGGGATGGGGATAGGGATAAGGAAGGGGATGGAAACAGGGATGGGAATAGGGATGAGGATGGAGGAGGTGGGAGCAGGGTGCAGGCGCAGGGCTGCAGAACAAAGCTGGGCAGCCTAGGCAGAACCTGCACTGGTGCAGAGGTTCGGAGCACGGTGAGCTGCGGCATGCAGGACAGTGCACGAGCGGCAAGCATGGGGCGTGCAGCAGGAGAGGACGGCGTGGGGCGCGAGGCTGATGCACCAACGGCACGGAAGCCCCACGGCATGGCGCAGGCGACGGGCAGCCCCACAGCACCGCAGGGAGGCCACGCAGAAGCAGCCGTGAGGAACAGGAGGGTGGGCTGGCGGCCTGTGGAACTCCCCAGTGTCTGTGGCAGAGGCTGCAGGGCACAGGGCAGCGATGGCACGGGATGCGGCCGCGCCGCCTCGCCAGGCTGATGGAACAGAAGGAAGGTTTGGGGTTGAGGGGAAGGCGTCTGGCTCACGGCACGGCTCTGAGATCCGGGCTGCGAGGAGCAGGAGGTGACAACAAGAACCGGTGGGGGCAGGCAGAGCACGGAGGAGCGCGGAGCAGCCGTGGCCGCTGCACATCCGTGGTGCAAGGACCGTCCTGGGCACGAGCGTGCCGACAAACTCCGGTTCACCAGAGGGTGCTCCCTCGTGCCAGGGTGGGAGCAGGGGATGCAATGCGGGTCATGGGGGGGGGGGGGGAGCTGAGGATGAAGGATGGGGACGATGCGATGCTCGTGTCGAAATGTGAAGAGACCGTAAGGAAGGACTGGGGAGCGTGGTGGGGTGCAGGGCTGGATGGGACCGGAGGTGGTAACGGCACAGGGCACGGTGCGGGCACACGACGGAGCAGCATTGGCACACGCAGGAGGGCGGGCGCAGAGGCAAAGCTGGCCAGCAAGGAGGCGGCCTCGGGTGGACGCGATGGCTGCAGTCAAAGCTGGGATGGCTCCTGGCTCCCCCGTTATCGGGTGGGAGGCCTGGAGTAACCCGGGTATCTACAGCGGGAGTTCTGCCTGCGGAATAAGAAGGTACAGGTTGGGAGCCCCTCGCCTCCCCCGTGCAAGTGCTGGGGCATCGCCTGGGGAGGGAAGAAGCGCTGCGGATACACAGAATTCAGTGGTTTCCCGAGAGCTCCGAGTGGAGCCTCAGAGGCCGAGAGCTCAGGGTAAGGAGGCAGCACCGCAGCCGCCAGGGCCCAACCGAGGGGCTGAGCCCGGGGCCGCGCGCAGGGGAAGGGGCCGCAGCCCCAGCCCTGGGCCTTCCACCGGCCGAAGGTTGTAAAGGTTCGTAGATGTGTGAGGGTCAGAAGGAACCTCCTTGTCCTTCCCTCTAGCACCAGAAGAGTTAATGCCTTCGTGGGGGACTCGGCTTTTGGGGAACACCAGTCACCAAGCCGTCCCCTGGCCGCCCCTGAGCCCGGGCGCGCGATGCCGGCCAGGGGAGCGCGTGGGGCCGGGAACGGAGCTGCTGCCCCTCCGGCACCGGGGCCGCCCCAAGCCGTGGGTCTGCGGGTTCCCCGGCGCCGGAGGGAGAGCAGCGTCCGGGAGCGGGGACTGGAAGCTCTCCACCTCCGTGCGTCTGCCTCTGCCTGCGGGGATGGAAGACGTGGTGTGTCCCAAAAACCGAGCGGATTCGTTGCTTCGTGTTTCCAAATCTTTAAAATCCAGAGTGTCTGAAAGGAGCTGTTGGTTGGTTGGTTGGTTTTTTTTTTTTCCAAAGTTTTTTTTTTTTTTTTTAAAAAGACTTTTTTTTTTTTTTTTTGCCTTTTTTTTTTTTTTGCCTTTTTTTTTTTTGCCTTTTTTTTTTTTTGCCTTTTTTTTTTTTTTGCCTTTTTTTTTTTTTTTGCCTTTTTTTTTTTTGCCTTTTTTTTTTTTTTTTTTGCCTTTTTTTTTTTTGGAACATTCATTCAGTCAGTCGCTTAAAAACTCCCGTGAGCGATGGGCGACCTGGGGGAGGGGTGCAGGCACCGCCTCGTCTGCATCTCAACAAGTCTAGAGATATATAGATTTAGTAAAATTATAACAAAATCAGGTGGCTATAGCTATAGATATAGATATATAGATATTTGTTCTCTCTTTTCAAATATATAGCTGATCGGTTAAAAAGATGCAAAATAAGGATGACAAGGACAGAGTGGGAATCCCGTGGGTCAGAATCGTCTCTTGTAGATCATCAGCTGCTCTCTATATAAATGCACGGAGATTAAATATTACCCATCAACGCGTCCCCTTGGAAACAAGACCCCAAACCAAGAGGAAACCAAACACCTCCCCCCACCCCCCCACCCTCACCGTTGGCAAAGCGTTTGCTGCTGGGTCCCCACCAGCCTCCCTCGACACCCCCCAAACATGCTTCAATCCATGCGGTTTCGCTCCCTCTCCTCTCTCGCGCGGCTCCGGTCTGCCGGGAGAGCCGGACGAGGGGCTGCGGGGTGGGAGCGGGGCGGGAGCGGGGCGGCCACCCCCACGGCACCAGGACCCCTGGCTGGGCCGCCCCGCCGCCGAGGCTGCTCCCCCCCCCCCCCTCAGCACCCTGCCTGCCTCCTGCAGCAGGCGGCACCACTGGGCCGAGCCGCGCCAACAGGCCTCGTTGTGCCACCGGGCCTCGTTGTGCCATCAGGCCTTGTGCCACCAGGCCTCACTGTACTGCTGGGCCTAACGGTGCCACCAGGCCTCATGCCACTGGGCCTAATTGTGCCACTGAGCCTAACTGTACTGCTGGGCCTAACTGAGCCACCAGGCCTAACTGTGTCACCAGGCCTAACCGTACTGCTGGGCCTAACTAAGCCACCAGGCCTAACTGTACTGCTGGGCCTAACTGAGCCACCGGGCCTTGTGCCACCAGGCCTAACTGTACTGCTGGGCCTAACTGAGCCACCAGGCCTCGTGCCACCAGGCCTAACAGTACTGCTGGGCCTAACTAAGCCACCAGGCCTAACTGTACTGCTGGGCCTAACTGAGCCACCAGGCCTAACCGTACTGCTGGGCCTAACTGTGCCACCAGGCCTCGTGCCACCAGGTCTAACAGTACTGCTGGGCCTAACTGTGCCACCAGGCCTCGTGCCACCAGGCCTAACAGTACTGCTGGGCCTAACTGAGCCACCAGGCCTCGTGCCGCTGGGCCTAACTGAGCCACCAGGCCTTGTTGTGCCACCAGGCCTCGCTATTCCACTGGGCCTGGGTGCTTCATTGGGCCCAGCCATGTCACTGGGCCTAGTTGCACTGCTGGGCCTAAGCGCACCATGAAGCCTAGCTGTGCCACCGGGCCTGGCCACACCACCAGGCCTAGAGGCACTGCCAGGCCTAGCTATGCTTCCAGGCCTCGCTGTGTCGCTGGGCCTGGCTGCACAGCTGGGTTTAGCCACACTGCTGGGGCCTGGCTGCACTGCTGGGCCTGGCTGTGCTGCACACCCCAGGGCCTGGCCGGCCCGCTCCCACCTGCCACGCGAGGTGCCTGCAGGAGGGTCAGGCTCCTCGCCTGGCGGCGGGCCGGCCCCCAGCCCCAGCCAGGTGTCACCGTGCCACAGGCCAGGCACAGAGCCGTGGCATGGCGGCACGTGGCTCCTCGGCCCTTCCGGCCACTGGCGACGCCCCCAGGCAAGAGCACATCAAGCGATATACAGGCCGGACTCTCTGGGAGGGACGGAAAAGAGGATGTATTTCATGCAACATTCCTTTTCCCGAAGGCGTCGCGGGGCCGGCGGGGCCGAGCGGGGCTGCGCGTGCGCGGCGCGGGGCTGCCTGGGAGCGGGTGGGGGCCGTCAGGCTCCGCACCCTTCAGTGCAGTGCTCAGAGTAGAAAGAGAATCAAAATGGGTTTTATTAGTCTGGTAGAAACGTCCCCCCGCCCCGTTGGTGGCTCTGGAAGAGGCCGGCGCTGCCTAGCATGGTCAGCTGTCTACCAGCTGCTTGAGTGCTCGCTCGATGTTCATCCGGTGCCCGACCCGTGTCACCCCCAACTCCACAAAGTCCTCCTTGGTGAGGGCGGGCAGATGCGTGCCCTCGATCTCATGGTCCTCAAACTTGTCTCGGTGCTCCACCAAGTTGATGCTTTCCAGCCAGTCCCCAACGTCGTACTTGTTCCACAGGTGGAGGGGTTTCTGCATGAAGGGCCTCGGCGGGTGGAGGGTGTGCAGGGGCGGCCCTGGCGAGGGGGATGGGGACGGGGAGCGGCTCCGGGCGCTCACACTCCTGACCACAAAGCGCACCTCCTTGGGCTCGTGTGGGATGGAGAGGCTGGAAGATTTGAGGATGGTGGGAGGGGTCAGGCCGTAGGGCCGCACGGTGCTGAGCGGCTCTGTCCGATCCAGAGCCGGCTTCACGGGGCTGGGGGTACGTCGGGTTACGGGGTAGCGACTGCCAGGTCGAACCGTGTAGGTGGTCCCGGAGCTCCGCTGGGAAATGGTGCTGAGTTCTCCTAAACTACTGAAAAGTCTGCAGAAAGAACGGTACAGCGAGAGAGAGAGAGGAGAGAGAGCAGAGCGCGGGGTGAGGCCAGGTCCCCAGACACAGAGCACACACACAACGCGCGGGGACGCGGCTCGGAGCTCCGGCCAAGACCTGCTGCAAGCCCTTGCGAGGTCTGCTCCGAGGAGGCAGAAGAGGTGCGGGGATTTCCTCCAGGAGCTCTGGATCTCGGCCGCGCTGCCATCGCTCCGCACACCCAAAACCCTCCTGGGAGCAGCCCTGGCCCTGCAGCCCTCTGTGGATTCACTGGGAAGTGCCACGCTGAGGACCTCGCACCACCGCCTGCCCCCTCTGGCTGGGACCACCTCCCCTCACTAAAGCAGGGCGCCAGGCACAGCCAGAGCAACACACAACCGCCTGAGCACATCTGCCACGGGGACAGAGCCCCACTGTAGGACGACAGGGACTTCCAGCACCTCTCCAGGCACCGGCGCGAGGCTCCGGGCGTGGGGCAGCAGGATCCGACCGTCACAGAATGGGGCTGAGCTCTGCTGCGGGCTGTGCGTGGGGCAGGAGGGCCCTGACCTGTCTACATCTTGCTCTGCCCCCATAAGCATAAATGCTCCGACCCGCAGGGCCGTGTGAGAGCAGCGTGGTGCTGGGCCAGTCCCTTCTGCAGCAGCGCCGGGGATGCGCGGTGTCCCTGGGCACCGGCCAACGTCTGCCCTGCACCAGACTGAAGGATCTGACAGGAGACAAACGGTGCTGCAAGAACACCTCCCTTCTGCCATCAGCCGCTTGTCACAAACCTGGCCTGGCGTAAACAAGGATGCTCCCAATGAGGAAATAAAACGAAACACAAAAACAGCAGAGGGCAACTGCCTGGAGTGCTCTGACCGGAGGGAGCCCCTCAGCCTGGGGAGCGCGGAGGTGGCATCCTGTGGGGCCATCGGGGCCTCGGTGCTGAGCGGGGCCGTGGGACTCTGCGCGGTCCTTCTGTGCACCCGGCATCCAGCTCAGCCACTTCTGCCCCGTGCTGCCTCCAGCTGCCCTGCCTGCCGCTCTTTGACTAGGCTGTGCTTTGCCCAACAAGCAGCCAATGGAGCGCGTTGCCCCTGGCCGGTGGGCAACCCAACCTCCAGCCCAGCCACGGAGGAGCAGGAAGGCACTGGGGCACCCTGCAGCTCTGCCTTCCCCTCCTGGAACAAAGCGACGGCTACAGAAATGCACTCAGTGCCACAAGCCACCAACGCAGGCGCTGCGTGAGAGCCGCGCTCTGAGAGGCCCAGAGGCGCTAACTGAAGATGGTGAATAGATTCCTATCCGCAGGAAGAGGAAGGGCAGCCCGTGGGCTCAGCCACGCTGCCTCTTGCGCTGATCCTCTTCCCACCTTGGCACAGAAAGCAGGAGTTAGAAAGGAGCGTGACGGTGAGTCACACTTGGGAAGCGCCACCAGTACGAAAGAGGGACAACTGAACGACCTTGAGGACTGCGGTACGAGAAACAGAACACGAAGGGACGGAACGCAGCTCACAAAGGGCTGGCAAAGGATCTCTGCTTTCAGCCAGAGCTCATCCGGAGGAAATGATGAAGGAAGAGAAAGTTCTGGGTCTGCTGGCACAGCCCGGAGGCACTGGCACAGCAGGAGTGCCTCAAGACCTACGTGTGAACTCGCATCACCGCAGCAGACACCGCTGCCATCTCTGCTGCTGGAATTCGGAGGACGGTTCGGGTTCCCCCACGTTCAAGAAAGGTAAATGTGAAGAGGAGAGGCTGCAGGCAGCGGCAGCTGGTTGCCAAGAGCTTGCTCAGCCCGGCCAAGATGGGATGGAGAGGGGCACCGCTCCCAGAGGTTGGGAAAGGAGAGCCTGCAGTGGGAGAGAGCAAGGATGCCATGCAGGAATGCTCAGCGGGCAGCTGGTGACACCCAGCTGTCATCCCTGCCCTGCTCAGGGAGCTGGCAGCCCAGCAGGCACTTTGGTGCCAAACGCAGGAGGAGGACAGGGCTGCAGCCTGGCAGGAGCGACGCGATGCCTCGCGGCTGAGGGATGCAATTCGTTAAGGTCTGAGGGCTCGTCTTCCGTGGAACTTGCAGAACGAGCCCAAATCTGTGTCCAAATGTGAATGAATCTTGATGGAGGATGAATGACGACCTCTGCAGAGAGGATTTCAGGGGACAGCAACACGCTGTGTTGTGCATTGAGGGGATGGGCTCAGGGTGCAATGGGGAGGGCAGCAGGGAGCCCCCATCCCTGGGGGTGTTCGGTGAGCACAGGGATGTGGCACTGGGGGACGCGGGCAGTGGGATGGGTTGGGGTCGGATTGGGGATCTCAGAGCTCTTCTCCACCTGAATGATTCTGAGAGCTTCCAGGCTCTGCCGTGAGGGAGGACCCAGGAGCTGAGATGGGAGTTCAGACAGGGCAGACTCTGCCCCACTAATGCTGCAATTCGTCCTGAGCTGCTTTGAATTTCAGTTGGCTTCACAAGCGCGTGGCATCCCTGCAGAGGAGCTGGAAATCCCCACAGACGGGCACAGCGAGACCCTGCTGTCCGTTGTGCCCTGCTGTCACCGCCATCCCTCTCCCCACAGCCAGGTAAGGTTGGCGTGCGCGGATGCAGCGACCTCAGCACTGCTGTCACTGCCTGTGAGGGTGCAGAGCTGCAGCAGCGCTGCGCTGCAAGGACTCTGTGGCTCTCAGCACGGCTCCTTTGCTGTCCAGTGGCTTCCAGGGTCAGGCGAGCTCAGGAAAGAGCTCTGCAGAGCACATCCTCTTCAGCACGGAGGACGGTGGGCTGCTCTGCGGGAGCTCTGCTCCGCCAGCAGTGCTGCGCCATAGAGGACGCTGCTCCCTACAGCCCAGCTTTGGAAGATGGCTTCTCCATTGGCGCTTCGCTCACAGGCACTCAGCTCTGCTCTGAGCCAGGGAAGCGTTTTTGGATGGGATCCTTCACGAGCCACGGCCCAGCACCGCCTCCCTTCTGACGCATTACGCAGAGCAGCAACGTCTGCTCGCAGGGCTGCTTCTGGATCAGTGCTCCTCGCTGCGGCTTCACGTGGGCGCACGACGAGATTGGCCACAGGGCCGCACACTCACAGCGACACAGCAGGACCAAGCTGAGGCCAAACAGCTGCCCTGTCTTCAGGCGCTGCTCCATCTTTGGGTGCTGCCCCGTTTCGGGGTGATGCCGCCCAGGGCTTTGCCTTTACCAGGCCTCTTCAGCGTTGCACGCTGCTCCTTTGGGCCGCACCGTGCAAACGCAACCCAGAAGCTTTGTAGGGAAAATGAAATGCTTTCTTCGTCTCCTGTGCGCGGCGATGCTGTGGCTGCACCTTGGAGGACCGCAGCAGCAAGGAGACGGCGGCTGTCGCAGCTCTGCCTCCCGACAGGGAGCCCAGGACCCAGCACACGTCCCACAGCGCAGGCTGCAATCAGCAGAACGAGGGCACAGCTCTCACGGGAAGCGTCTCACGACGAAGGTCGCGTTCTCACCAAGCAAAGAGGGATGCTGTGTTTGCCCGGCTGCTAACGGAACCCTTTGGGAACGCTCTGATGATTAATGGCACTGACGGCTCAGCCTCCTTTCTTTGATCTTGGTGTTTCAGTCCCAATTCCTTCAGCAGTAACCAGACCCAACAGCAGGCAACGCCTTCCAGTCGCTGCAGGAACTCCGCCACTTGCTCTGCTTCCACCTCTCCCGGTGCCCAAACGTTCTCATCCTCCCTCCAAAACATCACCAGAGCTCATCACGGAACTGCAAAAGGATTCTCCAGGCTCCGGGCAGCCTGGTCTGGTGGTTGGCAACCCCTGCACACGGCAGGAGGGGTTTGAGACGAGATGGTCATGGTGGTCCTTTTCAACCCAGGCCATTCTCTGATTCTCCTCCCATCAAGACCTCCTCCGAAGCATCACTGAGCTGTGGGGCCGCACTTGTGGTTCTCCAGCAGCACCCAGCGAACCCCAGAGGTTACGGCTATGGGCAGGGAGGGCTGCAGGCAGGCGCTGCCCCTCTCTCTTTGCCTAAATGCAGTTGGAGATGCTGAGTTCCCCCCGCACGGGGCGGTGCACACACAGGTGGCGTCGCGCCCCTACAGCTCTCTCCTTTCAGAGGGATTTGGCCTGCCAGCAACTCCACGTCTGGCTCTGCAAACAGAACATGGAAGGGCGGAAGAGAAAGGGAAGGAAGCCTGCAAAGCAAAGCTCAGAGCGACACCAGGGAAAGGAAGCTGCTGCTGAATGGCAGGGAAACGTGGCTGCAATGGGAGCGACTGAGGGGGGCGCAAAACCAGGACCCCCAGTGCAGAGATGTGGGGCTGCAGCAGCACGGTGTGCAGCCCATGCTGCACAACTGTGGGTGCTGCTGGGTGCTGCCGTGGCCGGCAATTCCCAATGTCCTCTTTCGTCGCCCCGATGATGGGGAAAAGGATCCCCTCGGCTGTTTGTTGACAAGTAGGGCGCAGGGACAGAGGCACCAAATGGCTGCGGAGACCGCAGTGATCAGAGACACGAGCTGGAAGCGAACTCAGGAAGCCCAGCAAAGAGAAGAGCAAAATCCTGCGCCTGAGGGGGTGGGAGAAGCCCGAGGTGCAGGACCAGGAGCCAGCAGCCTGTCCTGGGGCCGCTCACAGAGCCGATCCCAGCCAGGGCTCATCTGGGGCAGTGCTGGGATCCCCACTGCAAGAGGGATGTGGGATCCGGGAGAGCCAAGAGAGGGCTGTGATGGCGATGAGGGACTGGGACACGGGATGGCCGTGATGGTGATGAGGGACTGGGACACGGGATGGTGATGAGGGACTGGGACACGTGATGGCCGTGATGGTGATGAGGGAATGGGACACGTGATGGCTGTGATGGTGATGAGGGACTGGGACACGGGATGGTGATGAGGGACTGGGACACGTGATGGCCGTGATGGTGATGAGGGAATGGGACACGTGATGGCTGTGATGGTGATGAGGGACTGGGACACGGGATGGTGATGAGGGACTGGGACACGTGATGGCCGTGATGGTGATGAGGGAATGGGACACGTGATGGCTGTGATGGTGATGAGGGACTGGGACACGGGATGGTGATGAGGGACTGGGACACGTGATGGCCGTGATGGTGATGAGGGACTGGGACACGTGATGGCTGTGATGGTGATGAGGGACTGGGACACGGGATGGCTGTGATGGTGATGAGGGAATGGGACACGGGATGGCTGTGATGGTGATGAGGGAATGGGACACGTGATGGCTGTGATGGCGATGAGGGACTGGGACACGTGATGGTGATGAGGGAATGGGACACGGGATGGCAGTGATGGTGATGAGGGACTGGGACACGGGATGGCCGTGATGGTGATGAGGGACTGGGACACGTGATGGCTGGGATGGTGATGAGGGAATGGGACACGGGATGGTGATGAGGGACTGGGACACGTGATGGCTGTGATGGCAATGAGGGACTGGGACACGTGATGGTGATGAGGGACTGGGACACGTGATGGCTGTGATGGTGATGAGGGACTGGGACACGTGATGCTGATGAGGGACTGGGACACGTGATGGCTGTGATGGTGATGAGGGACTGGGACACGTGATGGCTGTGATGGTGATGAGGGACTGGGACACATGATGGTGATGAGGGACTGGGACACGTGATGGCTGTGATGGCGATGAGGGACTGGGACACGTGATGGCTGTGATGGTGATGAGGGAATGGGACACGTGATGGCTGTGATGGTGATGAGGGATTGGGACACGGGATGGCTGTGATGGTGATGAGGGAATGGGACACGTGATGGTGATGATGGCGATGAGGGACTGGGACACGTGATGGCTGTGATGGTGATGAGGGACTGGGACACGGGATGGCTGTGATGGCAATGAGGGAATGGGACACGTGATGGCTGTGATGGTGATGAGGGACTGGGACACGGGATGGCTGTGATGGCGATGAGGGAATGGGACACGTGATGGCTGTGATGGTGATGAGGGACTGGGACACGTGATGGTGATGAGGGACTGGGACACGGGATGGCTGTGATGGTGATGAGGGACTGGGACACGTGATGGTGATGAGGGACTGGGACACGGGATGGCTGTGATGGTGATGAGGGAATGGGACACGTGATGGTGATGAGGGACTGGGACACGGGATGGCTGTGATGGTGATGAGGGAATGGGACACGTGATGGTGATGAGGGACTGGGACACGGGATGGCTGTGATGGTGATGAGGGACTGGGACACGTGATGGTGATGAGGGACTGGGACACGTGATGGCTGTGATGGTGATGAGGGAATGGGACACGGGATGGCTGTGATGGTGATGAGGGACTGGGACACGTGATGGTGATGAGGGACTGGGACACGTGATGGCTGTGATGGTGATGAGGGAATGGGACACGTGATGGTGATGAGGGACTGGGACACGGGATGGCTGTGATGGTGATGAGGGACTGGGACACGTGATGGCCGTGATGGTGATGAGGGACTGGGACACGTGATGGCTGGGATGGTGATGAGGGAATGGGACACGGGATGGCTGGGATGGTGATGAGGGACTGGGACACGTGATGGTGATGAGGGACTGGGACACGGGATGTTGATGAGGGAATGGGACACGTGATGGCTGTGATGGTGATGATGGTGATGGCTGTGATGGTGATGAGGGACTGGGACACGTGACGGCCGTGATGGTGATGAGGCACTGGGCCATGTGATGGCTGGGATGGCGATGAGGGACTGGACAGCCTGGGCTGCTCGGCAGGGGGGAGGCTCTGGGGGCTCTCAGTGTGTGAATATCTGATGGAAGGGAATGAAGAAGGGGGAGGCAGTGCCCAGAGGGGACCAGCAGCGATGGGCACGCTTAGAATACAGGCAGAAGATGTTCCAAGGAAGGCATCAAATGGTTCTTGACTGCCAGGACGACCCAGCGCTGGCACAGCCCCCACCCCGGCCATGGCAGACCTGGAGGCACCCCTGGAGCCCCCAGCCCTCCCCTCCAACATCACCATTCCTCAGACTTCAGGCCCCACGTGGAGCTGCAAGCGACAGACGTCCCCATGGCAAACGTCCCCGTGGGAAACCGTGATCCACACAAACCCATTGCTACAGATGGTTTTCACCATCGCTGCCCGTGGGGAGAACCCTCCATGGGGACGGGTTGGAGCGGTGATGTGAGAGGTCTCATCCAACCCGATCCTGTGGTTCTACGGCTCAGTGTCCCCCACAGCTTCCATGTTTTCTGCAAACCACATTGAGCACGGTGCTTCTCACGCCATGAGCAACTCTGCCAAACCGAACGGGACGCTGACACGGAACGCTGACCCCGCTGTTCACCTTTTCCCACAACGACGAGCTCCTCCTGCCCCTCATTCCTGTCCTCCCCCCTCCGAACACAACCGCCAGCACCGCCTCGCTCTGCGCTGCTCATCACTCCTGGCCTCCCCGCCGCCGCGCCGCGCCGTCCCACATCGCCAGCTCTGCTCCTGGGGGGCCAACCAGCGAAAGCTGCCCCCTGCGGGGCTGTGCAGGGCAGGAGAAGCACGGCTCTCACCGCTGCCAGCAGCACCACCAGACACCGACAACAGTGTGAGCATCAGGCCAGTGCTGAGCAGAGCATCCCCATCCGAACAGCAGGAGCTGCGAAGCTCTTGGAGCTTATGGAGCGGGTCCAGAGGAGGGCATTGAGATGTCAGAGGGCTGGAGCAGCTCTGCTACGAGGAATGGCGGAGGGAACTGGGATTGATTGGCTTGGAGGAGAGAAGGATCCAGGGAGACCTCATGGTGGCCTTCAGTGCTTGAAGGGAGCGGATAAACAGGAGGGGAACGGCTGTGTGTGAGGGTGGGTGGTGATGGGACGAGGGGAATGGCTTTAAAGTGAGACAGGGGAGGTTTGGGTTGGATGTGAGGAGGAAGTTTTTCATGCAGAGGGCGGTGAGGCACTGGCACAGGTTGCCCAAGGAGGCTGTGGATGCCCCATCCCTGCAGGCATTGGAGGCCAGGCTGGATGTGGCTCTGGGCAGCCTGGGCTGCTGGTTGGCGACCTGCACACAGCAGGGGCTTGGAGCTGATGCTCACCTTCAGCCTTTGCAACCCAGGCCATTCTATGGCTCTGTGGGTCTATGATTAAGGAGCCCTGCAGAGGACTGGCGATCCCTGTGGGTCACAGCTGTGCCCGCAGGTCGGCAGCGCGGCGACGCAGCCACGCTCTGTGCTCAGAGGAAGGTCGGGAAGAGACAGAAGAGGTGGAAACAGAACGCTGCCAGTGGGACACAACAGGGACAGGGCAATGAGCAGAGCCACACCTGGCCAAGGTTGGTAGGTGTGAATGGAAACAAGGCACGCGTGTTGGGTTGGACGACCATGGGGACTCAACAGGAGCGACGGGGGGAGACCTGGAGGCCTTGCAAGCAGAGCTGGGTGCACTGATGGAAGATTCCTGCCCCAAGGACACACAGCGGAGCCCGGATCCCTCCTCACCCAATAGCACCTCTCGCCAACCCGGAGAAAGCTGTGCTACGTGTCGCAAAGCACCTCCTGCACCCCTTCCTCACCCGTTCAAAAGAAGTACAAAATTCTTCTCCATAAACCCACTGCTTGAGGCCAGCATGGCGTCATGGGAGAGCAAAACAGGGATGTTATGGGGGGCTGCTTTGGTGCAGCACAACCAGCACCGGTCCCGAACCACACAGCGCTCAAAGGAGGCGACCCACCGGGCTGCCGCTGCTCCATCGGCTCTGCCCGTCCACCTCTGCCCAAGCAGCATCCCTTTACTTATTTCAGTCCTCCCAAACGGCTTGTAAGACCTCACCAAGGCAGCACACGAGCAGGAGGGGCACTGATAGTGACAGGACATGGGGGAACGGCTTTACACTGAGGGGAGACTGAGGTCAGAGGTCAGGAAGGCATTTAATCAGAGAGCGGTGAGGCCTCGGCGCTGCCCACAGCTGTGGGTGCCCCGATCTGGGGCCATGGGTGGGCCTGGGCAGCCCATGCTGGAGGGCACCCAGGGATTGGCACTGGATGGTCTTTAAGGACCCTTCCAACACAACCACCCTGTGGTTCTGTCATCTTTAAGGACCCTTCCAACCCAACCATCCCATGGCTCTATGACCTTTAAGGACCCTTCCAACACAACCATCCCATGGCTCTGTGATCTCTAAGGACCCTTCTAACCCAACCACCCTGTGGTTCTATGATGTTTAAGGACCCTTCCAACCAACCATCCCATGGCTCTGTGATCTTGAAGGACCCTTCCAACACAACCATCTCTTGCCTCTATGATCTTTAAGGATGCTTCCAACCCAACCATCCCATGGCTCTATGATCTTTAAGGACCCTTCCAACCCAACCATCCCATGGCTCTATGGTCTTTAAGGACCCTTCCAACCCAACCATCTCATGGCTCTATGATCTTTAAGGACCCTTCCAACCCAACCATCCCATGGCTCTATGATCTTTAAGGACCCTTCCAACCCAACCATCCCATGGCTCCATGATCTTTAAGGACCCTTCCAACCCAACCATCCTGTGCCTCTATGATCTTTAAGGACCCTTCCAACCCAACCATCCCGTGGTTCTTTGATCTTTAAGGACCCTTCCAACCCAACCATCCTGTGGCTCTATGATCTTTAAGGACCCTTCCAACCCAACCATCTCGTGCCTCTATGGTCTTTAAGGACCCTTCCAACCCAACCATCTCGTGTCTCTATGATCTCTAAGGACCCTTCCAACCCAACCATCCCATGGCTCTATGGTCTTTAAGGACCCTTCCAACCCAACAATCTCGTGTCTCTATGATCTTTAAGGACCCTTCCAACCCAACCATCCCGTGCCTCTATGATCTTTAAGGACCCTTCCAACCCAACCATCTCACAGCTCTATGGTCTTTAAGGACCCTTCCAACTCAACCATCCCATGGCTCCATGATCTTTAAGGACCCTTCCAACCCAACCATCCCATAGCTCTATGGTCTTGAAGGACCCTTCCAACCAACCATCCCGTGTCTCTATGATCTTTAAGGACCCTTCCAACCCAACCATCTCGTGCCTCTATGGTCTTGAAGGACCCTTCCAACCAATCATCCCGTGTCTCTATGATCTTTAAGGACCCTTCCAACCCAACCACCCTGTGGTTCTATGATCTTTAAGGACCCTTCCAACTCAACCATCCCATGGCTCTATGATCTTTAAGGACCCTTCCAACCCAACCATTCCATGGCTCTGTGATCTTGAAGGAACCTTCTAACCCAACCATCCCATGGCTCTATGATCTTTAAGGACCCTTCCAACCCAACCATCCCGTGCCTCTATGATCTTTAAGGACCCTTCCAACCCAACCATCCCGTGGCTCTATGATCTTTAAGGACCCTTCCAACCCAACCATCCCATGGTTCTATGATCTCTAAGGACCCTTCCAACCCAACCACCCTGTGGTTCTGTCATCTTTAAGGACTCTTCCAACCCAACCATCTCGTGCCTCTATGATCTTCAAGGACCCTTCCAACCCAACCATCCCATAGCTCTATGGTCTTGAAGGACCCTTCCAACCCAACCATCCCGTGTCTCTATGATCTTTAAGGACCCTTCCAACCCAACCATCTCGTGCCTCTATGGTCTTGAAGGACCCTTCCAACCAATCATCCCGTGTCTCTATGATCTTTAAGGACCCTTCCAACCCAACCATCTCGTGCCTCTATGGTCTTTAAGGACCCTTCCAACCCAACCATCTCGTGCCTCTATGGTCTTTAAGGACCCTTCCAACCCAACCATCCCATGGTTCTATGATCTCTAAGGACCCTTCCAACCCAACCACCCTGTGGTTCTGTCATCTTTAATGACCCTTCCAACCCAACCATCTCGTGCCTCTATGATCTTCAAGGACCCTTCCAACCCAACCATCCCATAGCTCTATGGTCTTGAAGGACCCTTCCAACCCAACAATCCCGTGGCTCTATGATCTTTAAGGACCCTTCCAACCCAACCACCCTGTGGTTCTGTCATCTTTAAGGACCCTTCCAACCCAACCATCCCATAGCTCTATGATCTTTAAGGACCCTTCCAACCCAACCATCTCGTACCTCTATGGTCTTGAAGGACCCTTCCAACCAACCATCCCGTGGTTCTTTGATCTTTAAGGACCCTTCCAACCCAACCACCCTGTGGTTCTATGATCTCTAAGGACCCTTCCAACCAACCATCCCATGGCTCTATGACCTTTAAGGACCCTTCCAACACAACCATTCCATGGCTCTGTGATCTTGAAGGACCCTTCTAACCCAACCATCCTGTGGCTCTATGATTTCTAAGGACCCTTCCAATCCAACCATCCCATGGTTCTATGGTCTTTAAGAACCCTTCCAACTCAACCATCCCATCGCCCTTTGGTCTCTAAGGACCCTTCCAACCCAACCATCCCATGGTTCTATGGTCTTTAAGGACCCTTCCAACTCAACCATCCTGTGGCTCTATGATCTTTCAGGACCCTTCCAACCAACCATCTCGTACCTCTATGGTCTTGAAGGACCCTTCCAACCAACCATCCCGTGGTTCTTTGATCTTTAAGGACCCTTCCAACCCAACCATCCTGTGGCTCTATGATCTCTAAGGACCCTTCCAACCAACCATCCCGTGCCTCTATGACTGATACGGTCCCTTCCAACCCAACCACCCCACAGCTCCCTGATTCTGTGCCGCACTCCCAGACGGCAGCGATCACTTCCACACCTGAACCCTGGGGCTGCTGCAGGACCCAGCCTCCTCCGTGTAACCAGCAAGCACTCCAGTTTTACCCCTCCCCACCCTTCCCAAAAAGCAAATGCAAAACCTGTGCTTAGAAAACGCTTAAGGCACCCAGCTAAGCAAGCACCAGTGAAAGCCAGAGCGGATTGCACACCTCGTTCCACTGCTGTTGGATGTTTTCAATGGGAACAACGCTGCACAAGGGGGCTGTGTGGGGGCTCTGCCCACTGCCCACACCGACACGGCCCTGCTGGGCTGCACGCAGTGCCCGTCCCTGTCCTGCCTGCGCTCGGGGCCGTGCTGAGCTGGGGGTGAAAACGCTGCTGGAAGCTGTGCCAGCAGCGGGGCAGCACAGCTGGGTGACCCCAAAGGGACGCGTGCAGGGCTGTGACACTGTCTGCAATGCCAGCTCAGCTGGACGAGGATGGAACTGGCTGCCACGCGCTGCAAGCAGCTCTAATCAGGTGAATGCTGATGAGTGCTGTCCTGATGTGGGGTCAGCAGCAGGCTCTGCTCGGCCCCGAAACTGGCCCCGACCGCTGCCCGCATCACAGAGCCCACAGCTTCCCCACCTACAGCGTGCTGTGTGACAGCAGCACGGAGTGCACAGACAGCAGCCCTCCTGCTGCCAACCGTGGGTGAACGAAGCGAGATGCGCTGCGCTAAGACCGAGGCACGACCCTGCCCACAGCAGTGCCCCGTCCCCAGCCGCAGCCCTGGGCTCCACCACCTCCGCCGGGCAGACAGCACTGGAGTTCCCACCCTCTGCTGGAAGCTGCTGTGCTGCACAGCCTGGAGCAAAGCAGACCTGATCCATGCAGGTGGCATCCAGGAGGAACCGGCAGCCCAGCGGTGGTGGGTGGCATCTGGCATGAGAGTCCTACGTGCTGCCACTCTGCTCTCCCGGGGACTGGCCCTGTCCAGCCGGGCACCGGCGAGGGGTGAGGACTTGGAAATCCAACAATGTGCAGAAAATGACAAATAAAATCAAACAGGAGACTGCCCAGAGCTCTGGGTGTGCCGTCACACGTGGGAGCAACACAGGTGGATGTAGCTACGTTCAAACACACTACGGGTCAAAAAAAGCCAACGGGATGGACAGACAGACAAACACGGAAGAAGCACAACCAAGACCACACAGTTGGCCATGCACACTGGGGAAATTCACCTGGAGAGCAGCCTGGGGTGGGAGCACATTCCCCAGGTGGAATCCCACAGGGAGAAAGGGGCCTCGGGGCTTGGTCCGGCCTGGGGAACTGGAGATTCATAGAATGAGTTGGGTTGGAAGGGACCTTTATAGGTCACAGAGCCACAGAATGGGTTGGGCTGGGAAGGATCTTAAAGATCACAGAGACATACAATGGTTGAGTTGGTTTGGGAGGGATCTTGAAGACCACAGAGATATAGAGTTGGTTCAGTTGGGTTGGAAGGGGTCTTATAGACCACAGAGCCACAGAATGGTTGGGTTGGGTTGGGTTGGGTTGGGTTGGAAGGGGTCTTACAGATCATGGATCCACAGAATGGTTGGATTGGGTTGGGTTGGATTGGGTTGGGTCGGGTTGGAAGGGTCTTATAGATCATGTAGCCACAGAATGGTTGGGTTGGGTTGGGTTGGGTTGGGTTGGAAGGGTCTTATAGATCATGGAGCCACAGAATGGTTGGGTTGGGTTGGGTTGGAAGGGTCTTATAGATCATGGAGCCACAGAATGGTTGGGTTGGGTTGGGTTGGGTTGGAAGGGTCTTATAGATCATGGATCCACAGAATGGTTGGGTTGGGTTGGGTTGGGTTGGAAGGGGTCTTGTAGACCATGGATCCACAGAATGGTTGGATTGGGTTGGGTTGGGTTGGAAGGGTCTTATAGATCACAGAGCCACAGAATGGTTGGGTTGGGTTGGGTTGGGTTGGAAGGGTCTTATAGATCATGTAGCCACAGAATGGTTGGGTTGGGTTGGGTAGGGTTGGGTTGGAAGGGTCTTACAGATCATGGATCCACAGAATGGTTGGGTTGGGTTGGAAGGGTCTTATAGATCATGGAGCCACAGAATGGTTGGATTGGGTTGGGTTGGAAGGGGTCTTATAGATCATGGATCCACAGAATGGTTGGGTTGGGTTGGGTTGGAAGGGTCTTATAGATCATGGAGCCACAGAATGGTTGGATTGGGTTGGGTTAGAAGGGGTCTTATAGATCATGTAGCCACAGAATGGTTGGCTTGGGTTGGGTTGGGTTGGAAGGGGTCTTATAGATCATGGAGCCACAGAATGATTGGGTTGGGTTGGGTTGGAAGGGGTCTTATAGATCATGTAGCCACAGAATGGTTGGGTTGGGTTGGGTTGGAAGGGTCTTATAGATCATGGATCCACAGAATGGTTGGGTTGGGTTGGGTTGGGTTGGGATGGGTTGGGTTGGGTTGGAAGGGTCTTATAGATCATGGAGCCACAGAATGGTTGGGTTGGGTTGGGTTGGGTTGGAAGGGTCTTATAGATCATGGATCCACAGAATGGTTGGGTTGGGTTGGGTTGGGTTGGAAGGGGTCTTATAGATCATGGAGCCACAGAATGATTGGGTTGGGTTGGGTTGGGTTGGAAGGGGTCTTATAGATCATGGAGCCACAGAATGATTGGGTTGGGTTGGGTTGGAAGGGGTCTTATAGATCATGGAGCCACAGAATGGTTGGGTTGGGTTGGGTTGGAAGGGTCTTACAGATCATGTAGCCACAGAATGGTTGGGTTGGGTTGGGTTGGAAGGGGTCTTATAGATCATGGAGCCACAGAATGATTGGGTTGGGTTGGGTTGGAAGGGGTCTTATAGATCATGGAGCCACAGAATGGTTGGGTTGGGTTGGGTTGGAAGGGTCTTACAGATCATGTAGCCACAGAATGGTTGGGTTGGGTTGGGTTGGAAGGGGTCTTATAGATCATGGAGCCACAGAATGGTTGGGTTAGTCTGGGTTGGAAGGGTCTTATAGATCATGGATCCACAGAATGATTGGGTTGGGTTGGGTTGGAAGGGGTCTTATAGATCATGGAGCCACAGAATGGTTGGGTTGGGTTGGGTTGGGTTGGGTTGGAAGGGTCTTATAGATCATGGAGCCACAGAATGGTTGGGTTGGGTTGGGTTGGGTTGGGTTGGGTTGGAAGGGTCTTATAGATCATGGAGCCACAGAATGGTTGGGTTGGGTTGGGTTGGGTTGGGTTGGGTTGGGTTGGGTTGGAAGGGTCTTATAGATCATGGATCCACAGAATGGTTGGGTTGGGTTGGGTTGGGTTGGGTTGGGTTGGAAGGGGTCTTATAGACCACAGAGCCACAGAATGGTTGGGTTGGGTTGGGTTGGAAGGGTCTTATAGATCATGGATCCACAGAATGGTTGGGTTGGGTTGGGTTGGGTTGGGTTGGGTTGGGTTGGAAGGGGTCTTATAGATCATGGATCCACAGAATGGTTGGGTTGGGTTGGGTTGGGTTGGGTTGGAAGGATCTTATAGATCACAGAGCCACAGAATGGTTGGGTTGGGTTGGGTTGGGTTGGGTTGGGTTGGGTTGGGTTGGGTTGGAAGGGTCTTATAGATCATGGATCCACATTATGGTTGGGTTGGGTTGGGTTGGGTTGGGTTGGAAGGGGCCTTACAGATCATCCAGTTCCAACCTGGCCAGCCCAGAACTGCCGACAGGGAACGAGGCCAAGGGGCTGCGCCAGCACCGCATCCAGCAACAACCATTAACCAGAGTGGGAGAAGGGCACTTTCCGTGCTGTGATTTCCCCACGTCAGCCGTTACCGTGGCGGTGACTTCCCTGAGGGCCACCATGAAGACCCCTCATTGGCAGCCAATGAGCTGAGCTCCGGGCTGTAAGGCTTTGGGTGCGGAAGGAGCACGAACGGCCGCTCCGTTCTCTCTGTGAGGCCTCCAGGAGCTGCCCTGGGGGCTGCGGCCCTGCAGGGACGGCCCCGGTGAGGGCAGAGCGGGGCATGGGGTCCCACCCGAGGGCCGTCAGAGCCAGAGGGAATTTCCTCAGCCGTCACCATGGGGCAGCAGCAGCAGCAGCAGCAGCACACAGCGGCACAGACGGGGACACAGACAGACTACGGGGCACGCGGGCAGCGGGGCGGGAGGGGACAACGTGAGATCGCTATGAGATGAGAACGTGCTCACTTACACAACTCGCCCACCCTCCTGAGGCCAGAGGCGGTTCATAGACAGAGCAGCGCGGACATGCAGATGGAGAGCAGGAAGAGAGCAATGAGAGAGAATGTTAGCTCCGGTCCGGGGCAGCAACCACACGGAGTGAGCAGACGTCGGCGTGCGGCCGCCCGGCGGCTCCGGGGCCGGGGTGGATGCTGAGGGGTTCTGGGGATTCAGGAGGTTTTCCTCACTCGCTGAGGTGACGTTTGTGTGCGTGCTACGGGAAATGGGACATCGGTCATTGCGTGAGGTCAACAGCCAAAGCCTGAACAGTTGGACGGAGATATTTGGAAGGGCTGAGAACGGGGGGGGGGGGGGGGGGGGAGAGAAGGAGGGAGGGAGGAGGGATGGGGTGGGAGCAGAATGGGGGACGGAGCAGGGGAGAGGGGAGAAGAGGGGGAGGAGAGAACGTAAGCATGAGAAGAAATGGTCCACGGCAAGAACAAGAGCGGCAAATACAGATCAACATCTTCGGAACCTACGGATGTGTGGGCGCTAAGGGCTTTGGTTTGTGTGACTGCGAGCACCACAGGTCAGCGGGGGTCGCTGGGGCTCCGCAGAGCTCTGCAGAGGGGACGATGGCTGCTGCAGCGCAGAGGAGCCTGAGTGAACGCCTCGCCAGGAGCCTGAGCTACAGCACAGCATCAGCACCGGGCCAGGAGGAAACCAACCAGCGCGGGCACCCCATGGGACGTGGGGCACGACGCACGGCCAAGCGGGCACTGCGGACCCCCTGGGTTCCTCCTACACTCTCACCACCCCCAGCAGCAGCACGGCGCTGCCCGGAGCCCTCGCTGTGCCCAAGGTTCAGCTCGGCAGCGGCTCGGCAGCTGCCGTCGTCACGAGGCCATCGTTGGGTTCATCCACAGCTTTGCTTTTTGTTTTTTGTCCCGTAGGTCGTGCTCACAACGCAAAGGAATTGGCTGGGATTTCTCAGCACCGGGATCCAGCGGGGAGGAAGGAGCAGAGCCACCGTTCTGCTGCGCCCTCGTGCCGCCACGCGCTGGTGTGCTTGGCCAAAGGAGGGAGCGCGAGCAGCAGGCGCTGAGCCAGAGCTGAGGAACGGCGCTGGAGGAGCTCAGCTCAGCCCCGCACGGCCCCAGGAGGGATGGTGGGCATGGAGGAAGTGCTGTTAGCCCCTGGGAGCGCCAGGCACTGCCACCAACTTGTCTTGCCATGCCGTGCCAGGCCACGCTGTGCCGTGCCGTGCTGTGCCGTGCCGTGCTGTGCTGTGCCATGCTGTGCCGTGCCGTGCTGTGCTGTGCCATGCTGTGCTGTGCCGTGCCATGCTGTGCCATGCTGTGCTGTGCCATGCTGTGCTGTGCCGTGCTGTGCTGTGCCATGCTGTGCTGTGCCGTGCTGTGCTGTGCCATGCTGTGCTGTGCCATGCTGTGCTGTGCCATGCTGTGCTGTGCCGTGCCATGCTGTGCCATGCTGTGCTGTGCCGTGCCATGCTGTGCCGTGTCACGCTGTGCCATGCTGTGCCATGCTGTACCATACTGTGCCGTGCCATGCTGTGCCATACTGTGCCGTGCCATGCTGTGCCGTGCCATACTGTGCTGTGCCATACTGTGCTGTGCCATGCTGTGCCATGCTGTGCCGTGTCATGCTGTGCTGTGTCATGCTGTGCCGTGCCATACTGTGCTGTGCTGCACCATGCCATGCTGTGTCATGCTGTGCCATTCTGTGCCGTGCCATGCTGTGTCGTGCCATGCTGTGCCGTGCCATGCTGTGCTGTGCCATGCTGCGCCATGCTGTGCCATGCTGTGCTGTGCCATGCTGTACCATACTGTGGCATGTTGTGCCATGCTGTGCTGCGCCATGCCGTGCCATGCTGCGCTGTGCCATGCTGTGCTGTGCTGTGCCGTGCCATGCTGTGCTGTGCCATGCTGTGCTGTGCTGTGCCATGCCGTGCCATGCTGTGCTGTGCCATGTTGTGCCATGCTGTGCCATGCCGTGCCATGCTGTGCTGTGCCATGCTGTGCTGTGCTGTGCCGTGCCATGCTGTGCTGTGCCATGCTGTGCCATGCCATGCCGTGCCATGCTGTACCATACTGTGGCATGTTGTGCCATGCTGTGCCATGCTGTGCCATGCCATGCTGTACCATACTGTGGCATGTTGTGCCATGCTGTGCCGTGCCATGCTGTACCATACTGTGGCATGTTGTGCCGTGCTGTGCCGTGCCATGCTGTGCTGTGCCATGTTGTGCCATGCTGTGGCATGTTGTGCCATGCTGTGCCGTGCCATGCTGTGCTGTGCCATGTTGTGCCATGCTGTGCCGTGCCATGCTGTGCCGTGCCATGCTGTGCTGTGCCATGTTGTGCCATGCTGTGCCGTGCCATGCTGTGCCGTGCCATGCTGCGGTGACTTGCTGTGCTCAAGCAGTGAGCCCGAAGTGGCAGAGGACTCCAACACGCACTTCCAGCTCTCTCCCTTCATCCTTTTCCACACCGGAGCATCTCACCCTCTGGCTGCTTTCTCTCAGACGGTTTTGCAGCTGATGACAGAGCTGGGCTGGAGGTCTTCTGTCCAGAAGGAGCCCCACTCACAGCTCTTCTCCTGCACCGAGGTGCGCATCCCTGCGCTGTGAGGCTGCCGTCACTGAGTGCCTCTCATTTGTCCCCCTTTGGGCCACCAGTGCTGCTCCGCTCCTCCTGAATCCCACTCTGGACAAGCACGAATCCATCCCACACCGTTTCACTGCACCACATGTAACCGGTGGGTTACACAGAAAGAGGTGGCTTTGCCCTGGCAGCCAGATGCCTAAAGGCTCATTTCTCTCCTCCCTTCCCCATCTGTACAGACACAAAGCAGTCGTGGCTCTCCTGAAACAGCACCTGAACAACTCGGCTTCCGCAGCCGAAGCTCTGCTTCTCCGTCTGCTTGGCCGCTGCTGAAACGCAAAGATGCAAAGGAGCAAAAACAAAAAGCCTCGCACCTGCACTGAACCAGAGCTGTGCTGACCCAACCCGGAGCTGCTGGGGGCTGCCATCAGACGAGCTTTGTGCCACCCCGTGATTCCGGGCCCCCGTGTTGGCGCTCGCTGCGCTCCTGGCTCCAGGCAGCACAGCTCACACGCAGCCCTGCGACCCCATGGGGGCAGCGCAGCTCTGCAGGGCCGGGCGGCCACAGCCGGGAGCAGAATGAGACCCCGAAGAGCGACGCCTCCGAGCCACGCAGAGCTGCCTTGGAAACCGTGAGTCAACCTGGGGAGCCACGACTTGGGCTCCGCGCAGCTCCTGGCCGCGCCGCTCTGACTCACTGAGCGCTAATCAGAAACGTTACACCTCTGTTGGTTCACGACAGCTTTATTGTGGTAATGGATGGCACAGCTGCGGGTGGCTCCTGAACCGCGTGCGGCTCAGCGGCTCTTCACTCCCGACCCTCGCGCTGCTGCGGGTTTCGGGGCCTCCCCACACGCAGCGGTCAGAGGGCAGCGAGGCCGGCGTGTTCCCAGCTCTGGGGTCACATCCCAAGGTCCCGCGCCACAGCGGGGCCCCGTGGGCAACCCTGACGGCCACGGGAGAGAGCAAAGCGTGGGCACGGCTGCAGCGGGGCCTCCTGGGCAGGCTCAGCCCATCTGCACGGGGGGACGGAGGGCTGGGGAGGGCGGGACAAACGTTCCCTCTATTGAATGCCTCAACTCTGAGCTTAGGTTCTCAGTATTCCTCGGCCTCTTTTCCAGTGCCTCTCGTCAAAGGTCCTCCTGGGACAGACCGCCTTGGGAGGAGACACAGAGTTAGAGAGATGGAGAAAGCGCTTCAGCCCTCTGCTCCTGGAGGTGCCCCCCTGCGGGAACACATCCGTGCGCGCTGCAGCGCGGCAGCAGCCCTCGCTCTTGGATGCAACTGCTGTAAATTCAGGATGCAACGCAATTCGAATCGAATTCCAGCCACAAACCCCACGAGCGCACAGCGACCGCCCCGCTCCTCCTGCCTGCAGCGGCGCTTCAGAGCCTGGGGAGGCACCGACTGTGATGGCAGCTCATGGGGGGCTTCTGCCAGGGGTCTTGCTCAGCCCTGAGCCCTGCGGGACACCGGCTGGCTCCAGAACGGTGCTGGCTGCATTAAGTGTGCTGGCTCCAGAATGGTGCTGGGTCCAGAACAGTGCTGGCTCCAGAATGGTGCTGGGTCCAGAACAGTGCTGGCTCCAGAACGGTGCTGGGTCCAGAACAGTGCTGGCTCCAGAATGGTGCTGGGTCCAGAACAGTGCTGGGTCCAGAACAGCGCTGGGTCCAGAACAGTGCTGGCTCCAGAACGGTGCTGGGTCCAGAACAGTGCTGGCTCCAGAACAGTGCTGGGTCCAGAACGGTGCTGGCTCCAGAACGGTGCTGGCTCCAGAACGGTGCTGGGTCCAGAACAGTGCTGGCTCCAGAACAGTGCTGGCTCCAGAACGGTGCTGGGTCCAGAACAGTGCTGGGTCCAGAACAGTGCTGGGTCCAGAACAGTGCTGGCTCCAGAACTGTGCTGGCTGCAGGTAGGAGCTGCAGTTCAGCTCATGGCTCTTTCTGGAGCAGTGCAAAATATGAGCACGACGGAGATGCTGCAGCCCAAGGCAGGGCACGGCCCCATTGCCTTCCACATTCGCAGGAGCTCCAGCACAGGCCCTGGCTGCAGGCAGCACTGTGCTCTCCTTGTGCCCATCCCACAGGGCTCAGGGCTGCAGGTCCCACTGCATTGCAGCACTGCTCTCCTTGTGCCCATCCCACAGGGCTCAGGGCTGCAGGTCCCACTGCATTGCAGCACTGCTCTCCTTGTGCCCATCCCACAGGGCTCAGGGCTGCAGGTCCCACTGCATTGCAGCACTGCTCTCCTTGTGCCCATCCCACAGGGCTCAGGGCTGCAGGTCCCACTGCATTGCAGCACTGCTCTCCTTGTGCCCATCCCACAGGGCTCAGGGCTGCAGGTCCCACTGCATTGCAGCACTGCTCTCCTTGTGCCCATCCCACAGGGCTCAGGGCTGCAGGTCCCACTGCATTGCAGCACTGCTCTCCTTGTGCCCATCCCACAGGGCTCAGGGCTGCAGGTCCCACTGCATTGCAGCACTGCTCTCCTTGTGCCCATCCCACAGGGCTCAGGGCTGCAGGTCCCACTGCATTGCAGCACTGCTCTCCTTGTGCCCATCCCACAGGGCTCAGGGCTGCAGGTCCCACTGCATTGCAGCACTGCTCTCCTTGTGCCCATCCCACAGGGCTCAGGGCTGCAGGTCCCACTGCATTGCAGCACTGCTCTCCTTGTGCCCATCCCACAGGGCTCAGGGCTGCAGGTCCCACTGCATTGCAGCACTGCTCTCCTTGTGCCCATCCCACAGGGCTCAGGGCTGCAGGTCCCACTGCATTGCAGCACTGCTCTCCTTGTGCCCATCCCACAGGGCTCAGGGCTGCAGGTCCCACTGCATTGCAGCACTGCTCTCCTTGTGCCCATCCCACAGGGTTCAGGGCTGCAGGTCCCACTGCACTGCAGCACTGCAGCACTGCAGAACTGCAGGGCGGTCGCTGTGGCGGTGCTGGGTGATGCCGTTTATCTCAGGACGGGTCCAAGGACTGGAACCCGTGCCCTGCAATGGGTCACCTACATTTATGCTGACTGCTCTTCGCATCACCTTCCGAATTTACAGCAGTTTCATAGAAGGGAGGAATTCTCACACCGAGGCGGAGCGGCCGGCGTCACGGCGTGCTCCGTTTGCAGCGGATTTCCTGGGGAGCGTGGCAAGAATTTCAACCAAGAGCAAAATAATGTCAGAGCTGCGAGGCTCCGGGAGGGGATGAGGAGCACTGCAACCCATGGGGGCACAGAACACGGAGTGCTCAGCGTGGGGAAGGGCATGGATGGGGGAAGGCATTCCCTGCAGCTGGGGAGGAGGAGGAGGAAGACAGAGTCTCAGCACAGGGGGTCACTGCAGCCATCCACGGCCAGGGCAGAGCTTTGGGGGGGTTGTTAAGGGAGACGGGGGTGGGGATGCAGTGCTGCAGTGCGGGTGGTGACCCGTGGGCATGAAGGAGGGGCAGGGATGGGGCAGAAGTCCTCAGGAATGGGGGAATTCGCACACCTACGGGCACCGGGACGCAGTGATGTGGGACACGGGAAGGCAGAGGGGGGGGAGGTGGGTGTGGGACGGCAGGGTTTACAGGTGGGAGCCGTGGGTGCTTTTCACTGATCGCTCCGGGAGACCCAAAAAGGGGGGAGATGGACGCCCCAGCACCCCCAGCACCAGCTGGAGTGGGGTTGGGGGGTTGGCTGTGCCTCACACTGCCCCCAGCAAAGGGCCCAAATCCTGCAGGTGGGCTACAGAGACACCGTGTTTGGTCACCAGCAGAAGATCAGGACTCCCCCCTCCCCCATCCCAGCGTAGCTGCAGATGTTCCAGACCTGGAGCAGTGCACGCCTTGCTCCAGACGGCCCTCGGATGCAGCTGACCCAGCACAGGACCCTGGGGTCCCAGCTGAGCAGCACAGCGAGGAACCGCCGCTCTGCAGGGAGCGGCCGCAGCGCCGACGTGGGGCCGAACCCATCAGAGCGAAAGCGAAAGATCCAGAGGGTTTCCTTCCACTTTGTGATGGCAACCACGGGGCTGGTGCCCGCCAGAAGTGGGTCAGCGGGGCGGCGGGGGCCGCTCCTGGGGGGGGGGGGGGCTGCAGGGCACGGTAACCCCCCCCCCCAGCTCCGTTCCAAAACGCCTCCAGCTGTGAGCGCACGGCACGGCTTGGAGAGCCGCCGCTGCACCGAGCGCAGCACGCGCAGCTCCTCGGCTCAACGCTCCCTTCAGCTCGCCCTTCCCAGCTCCTGGCTGACCCTACGGTGTGGGCATGGCAGGGGGGGCAGCATGGGGGGGGGGGGGTGGGAGCTGCTCACTGGAGGGCAGCGGGGCGGACGCAGCGCAGAGCGAGGCGCTCGCTGAGCATCTCGGAGCCTTCAGAGGCTTTGCTCTCACATCTCCGGTTGCCATCGGGAGCTTTTTGGTTTTGCTGTGTTTTACACGTAGATCTGTGGGGAAGCTGGGAGCTCCTGAGGGCGTGAGGGAGAACTTTGTGCTGCGGGGTGGGGGGCAGAGCCCAGGCACGGCTGCACACAGAGGTGGGGGAGACTCCATCTCTGCAGGGAGCCAAACCCACCTGGAAGCTCCGTGTGCAGCTGCTGGAGGGGCTGCTGGGGAGGGAGAGGGGGGGGAGCTGCAGGGGTCCCTTCCAGCCCTACATCTCCGGGTTCCATCAGCCTGAGCACAAACCCATGTGGGAAATGGAACCCCGACCCTCAGCGCCCCGCAGCGCAGCCGGCGCCGCTGCCGTGCCCCACGACCGGCAACGTGGCCCCGCAGCCCGACGACGCTCAGAGCCCTTCCAGATGAAAAGCACCGGGGAAACAGACGTCGCTGTTAACGGCTCGGGAGAAAACATTTGGAAAGGAAACCCACGACAGAACACGGCGGCTTGACGGGAGCGGACAGAGGAGGGGCGGCCGACGCGAGAGCCGAGCGCGGAGCAGCGGGCAGCAGGCGCAGCCCCGGGGGAGGACGGCCGCGCCGCACCCCGTCCGAGCGGGACGGATGCCTCCGGGACGCCCTGACCCCCACCCGGCCCTCGGCACCGCGCTGCCCCGGGCGCCACGCGGCCTCTTACCGTGCCGCGACCACCGGAGACTTCTTGCCGGGATCCAGCGCGGAGCCGGCCGGCTCCTCCCCCAGCGACCGCGTGTCCTTGTTCAGCTGCTGCAGGCGGGAGCTCAGCTCGCTGATCACAGTTGGCTTGTCGTCGTCAGCCCCGTGGATCGGCCGGCTCTCCATGGGGTCCCCCCATAGCTTGGACCTTCTCTGAAAGAGGTAGCGTGGCCGGCCAATGCTGGCGGACGCCAGCGTGGCCGCATGTTGCTGGGAGATGAGCTCGCTGTCCGAAGACTGCTTCAAAAGTGGGTCCCTGAAAGTAACTGGCCCCTTGCTGAGCTGGGACTTGAGTTTTGGCTTTGGAGGCACTGGTGGCTTCTCGAGTATAAAAGTTTGTCCGTCCGCAAAGGAAGTGTACGTGTCAGTGGGCTCCCCGCTCTCCGAGGACAGCGTCGACATGCTGGAGACCGTGGAGATGGTGCTCGTGGTCTCCAGGTGGTGGTCGCTCGAACTCCTCGTGTCCACCTCTTCCACGCCCGAGTCGGCCGCCGACTCCGGGGCCGCTGGGGCGTCGGGGGGCTTCCCTGAGGGTGTTCCGCCCGCGGTCGGAGGAGCTCCTGCTGCCGCTGGTGCGGATGGCGTGCTGGGCGCCGCCAGGTGGCTGACGGGGGTGCCGGGGGTGGTGACCAGGACCCCGTTGGCGAACTCGTCGGGCGGAGGCACCAGCCCGATCTTGGCCAGCTCCTCCCTGGTCTCTTCGTCGCTCGAGGACAGCTGCGCCGGCGGCAGCGTCACGGTGTAGGGCTCCACCTCCTCCTCCGAGCTGCCCTGCCCCAGCGTCTTGTCGGCGGCGGCGGCTGCAGGGCTGCCCGGCCCCTTCCCCGCGGGGCTGGGCTGAGGCTCCGCTTTGGGCGGCTCCGCCGGCTCCGCGCACGCTTCGGGCACCGCCGGCTTGTCCTCCTTCAGCTCAAGTCCGATCTCGTCTTGGCCGTTACTTGTGGCGTGAACCATGATCAGGCCGGCGGTCTTCTGCTGCGACGTGTCCACGATGCTGATGATCATGGACTTCTTGTCTTCCGGCTTCTTCTCCTCCTTGCCGGGCGCTTCCACCCTCGCCTCGGCTTCTTTCCTCAGCGTGGACGGGGTTCCCCACGGGCTCTTGGCGGGGGTCAGCGCCGCCGCCTCGGCCGCCACGGCCCCTTTCGCTCCGGGCGAATAGGCGGGGGACACCAAGCTCTCCAGCTCCACCCTCTCCGGTTCTTTGGTTTGGATGTCCACGAACAGCGGCGCCGCTCTGTCGGAGTCCGGGCTGTGGATCGGGGTGGGCGACCGGGATGGGACTTGGGTGGAGAGGGCCCTCTCCCTTGCGGCCAGCGCAAGCGCCAGTGGCGAGTTGGGATCCAGGGGCTTTCCCGTCAGGGGGTGGATGAACGTAGAGGATGAGCTGCTAATTAATGGCTTTAAAGCTGAGACGGGGGAAGGCAGTAGTACATCTCGGCTTCCTAACAACCGCTCATCGATAGACCTGGACTGCTGCAGGGATGGCATGTCGCTGCTGGGGGGGGTGCCTTCGATGGCCCCGACCGAGAGGAAGACAGTGGATTTGCGCTTCTCGTCCAGACGTCGGTCTCTGTCCTTCATGACCCCAGCGATGGCAGTGGCGAAGGGGATGCTCGTGGCTTCGACCTGCGCGAGGCCGGCGTGGTGCTGGTAGTCCACGCCGCTCAGGCGATGGCTCCGGCGGGTGGGCGAGGGCTCCCTGGTGAAGCCCCCCGTGATGGACAGGGCCGCCCTCTCCTGCGCGTCCTCCACCTGCAGCTGCTTGACCAGAGGGCTCTTCTTCCTCTGCGGCTTGGTGGGAGCGAACAGGCTGACGTTGAACTGCCCCATGTTGGCGTAGGGGTTGTCGATCACCCTCCCCTTCCTTTTCAGCTTCTCCGGAGGGGTTGCGGACGGGCCGGGCCGGGGGATCTCCGTCGGCTCCACGGGGAGATGGGAGGAATCCTGCAGGATTATCATGGATCGGGCCCTCTTCTGCCTTTCGGGATAGGGGATGGACGTCCTCGCCTGATCGTACATCTCAGCCGCGCTGATGACCTGCGGCAGCCCGTGGAGCTTCGCCTCCAGGCTGGGCTTAAAGCTCGACCTGATGGTGTCGTAAGCTCTCCCTGGGGGCGGAGGTGGAGAGAAGGATGGAGGGGGGCCCGTGTCGAAGTAGTATGGAGAAGGAGGCGGGGGTGGGGCCGTCTGGGGGGGCGGTGGGATCCCGTGCCCTTCCCTAACGGTGTCTTGCATCGATGTGCTCCGCGGAAACTTCCCATCCAGCAAAGAAGCAGCAAGTTTCTCGTCTTCACCTGGAAAACCGGAACGACAGAGAGGTGAAGGAGCGCCCAGAGCACAGCACCCACAACGGCGTGGGGGAACCAGATCCCTTTCCTCCCCCCGCCCCGCATTCGTTTGGAGGTGGCCTCCTGCTCTGCCTTCTCTTGGCTTGACGCAAACATTTGCAGTTTGGCCCCTTGCTCACATTCCCAGAGCGGTTGGGTCATGGGAGGGCCTTGAAGACCATCCAGCCCCACCGGATCATAGAATCATAGAATCACCAAGGTTGGAAAAGACCTCAAAGCTCACCCAGTCCAACCGTTCACCCATTCCCAATAGCTCCCACTAAACCATGTCCCTCAACACAACATCCAGCCTTTCCTTGAACACCCCCAGGCTCGGTGACTCCACCACCTCCCTGGGCATCCATTGCAGTGCTGCCCACCTTTCTGAACAGTAACACTTCCTCATGTCCAGCCTGAATCTCCCCTGCCATAGCTTGAAGCCATTCCCTCTGCTCCTATCACTGATGACACGAGAGCAGAGGCCGACCCCCAGCTCACTGCAGCCTGCCTTCATGCAGCCATAGAGAGCAGTGAGCTCTGCCCTGAGCTCCTCTTCTCACACTGAACATTCCCAGCTCCTTCAGCCTCTCCTCATCAGCCCTGTGTTCCAGACCCCTCACCAGCTTTGTTGCCCTCCTTTGAACACGTTCCAGGGCCTCAATGTCTTGCAGTGAGGGGCCCAAAACTGGACACAGCACTCGAGGTGCGGCCTCACCAGTGCTGAATACAGGGGCACAATCACCTCTCTGCTCCTGCTGGCCATTTCTGATGCAGGCCAGGATGCCATTGGCCTTCTTGGCCACCTGGGCACACTGTGGGCTCCTGTTCAGCCCAGCATCCATCCATACCCCCAGGTCCATTTCCTCTACATCGTCCTCCAGCCACACCGCCCCATGCCTGCAGCGTCGCCTGGGGTTGTTGTGGCCCAAGTGCAGGACCCGGCATTTGGCCTTGTTGAAACTCATCCTATTGGCTTCAGCCCAGCTCTCCAGCCTGTCCAGATCCCTCTGTAGGGCCTCGCTACCCCCAGGCAGATCCACACTTCCAGCCAATTTGGTGTCATCTGCGAATGTACTGAGGCTGCACTCGATGCCCTCATCGAGGTCATCAATAAAGATATTGAAGAGGACAGGCCCAGCACCGACCCCTGGGGAACACCGCTCACAACCGGTCGCCAGCTGGATTTGACTCCATTCACCACCACTCTCTGTGCCCGGCCCTCCAGCCAGCTCCTCACCCAGCACAGAGTGCAGCCATCCAAGCTGCCAGCTTCTGCAGGAGATGCTGTGGGAGACAGTGCCAAAGGCTTTGCTGAAGTCTAGGTAGAACATCAACAGCCTTTCCCTCATCCACCAGATGGGTCACTGGATCATCGAATGAGATCAGGAGATCAGGATCGCACCGCACAGCACCTCCCCACGGCCTCGGGCAGCTCCAGGGATGGGGCACCCACCACCACAGACCCTCAAGTCATCCCCCATCGCTCTCAGCCCAGCAGACAGCGCTGCCAGTGAGGGACTGGGGAGGCACCACGGAGGGGACAGAACCAGAGAGGCTGAATGTTCCGTGCCACCCAACGTTGGTGGTCGGGTGGCAGCAGAAGATGGGCTGGCAGTGACTCCAGGTGGCCCAGAAGGCCCTCGGCAGCCCAGGCTGCACTGGAAGCGGCGCTGCCAAGAGGAGCAAGGAAAGGATCATCTCTCCGTACTCAGAACCTGTAGGTCACACCTTGAGTACTGAGCTCAGTTTTGGGCGCATCACCACAAGACAGTGAGACCCTGGAGAGCGTTCAGAGAAAGGCAATTAAGCTCTGGCTGGTCTGGATTGTGAGCCTTGCGAGTTGCAGCTGAGGGGACGGGGATTATTTAGTCTGCAGAAGAGGAACAGGGGGGACCTCATCGCTCTCCACAACAAGCTGAAGGGAGGATTTAGCATTCAACGTGGAGGTTGGTGGCCCTGCATGCGGCAGGGGGGTTGGAGATTCATGATCCTTGAGGTCCCTTCCAACCCTGGCCATTCTGTGATTGATTCTGTGAGGAAGTGGTCAACCTCATCTCCCACACAGTAACAGGACTAAAGAGAACGGTCTCAAGTTGAGCCAAAGAGACTGAGCTTGGACGTTGCCAAAATAATTGCCCATTGAGGGGACGGGGCGCGAAGGGGCTGCCCAGGGACGTGGTGGAGTCGCTGACCCTGGAAGCATTCAATAAATCTTAATGCCATGCCGTGAGGGACGTGGGGAGGCGTCCAAAGCCAGGCTGGATGGGGCTGTGAGCAACCTGGTCTGGTGGGAGGAGTCCCTGCCTGAAGCAGGGGGTTGGAAATGGGTGACCTTAAAGGTCCCTTCCAACCCAAACCATTCTATGCTTCTATGATTCTATTCCAGCCAAGCCGGCCAATCTCCAGCCCTGTGTGATGCCAACAGAAGGCAGCCCTGCTCCACTGCAGCCCTGCTGCATTGCAGCCCTGCTCCACTGCAGCCCTGCTGCATTACAGCCCTGCTCTACTGCAGCCCCGCTCCACTGCAGCCCTGCTCCACTGCAGCCCTGCTCTATTGCAGCCCTGCTCCACTACAGCCCTGCTCCACTGCAGCCCTGCTCCACTGCAGCCCTGCTGCATTACAGCCCTGCTGCATTGCAGCCCTGCTCCACTGCAGCCCTGCTCCATTACAGCCCTGCTCCATTACAGCCCTGCTCTGCTGCAGCCATGCTCCACTGCAGTCCACTGCAGCCCTGCTCTATTGCAGCCTTGCTCCACTGCAGCCCTACTCCACTGCAGCCCTGCTCCATTACAGCCCTGCTCTATTGCAGCCCTGCTCCACTGCAGCCCTGCTCCATTGCAGCCCTGCTGCATTAGAGCCCTGCTGCATTACAGCCCTGCTCCACTGCAGCCCTGCTCCACTACAGCCCTGCACCACTGCAGCCCTGCTGCATTACAGCCCTGCTCTACTGCAGCCCTGCTCCATTGCAGCCCTGCTGCATTGCAGCCCTGCTCCACTGCAGCCCTGCTGCATTACAGCCCTGCTGCATTACAGCCCTGCTCCATTGCAGCCCTGCTCCACTGCAGCCCTGCTGCATTACAGCCCTGCTGCATTACAGCCCTGCTCCATTGCAGCCCTGCTCCACTGCAGCCCTGCTGCATTACAGCCCTGCTCTATTGCAGCCCTGCTCCATTGCAGCCCTGCTCCATTACAGCCCTGCTCCATTACAGCCCTGCTCCACTGCAGCCCTGCTCCACTGCAGCCCTGCTCCACTGCAGCCCTGCTCTGCTGCAGCCATGCTCCACTGCAGTCCACTGCGGCCCTGCTCTATTGCAGCCTTGCTCCACTGCAGCCCTACTCCACTGCAGCCCTGCTGCATTACAGCCCTGCTCCACTGCAGCCCTGCTCCACTGCAGCCCTGCTCCACTACAGCCCTGCACCACTGCAGCCCTGCTGCATTACAGCCCTGCTCTACTGCAGCCCTGCTCCATTGCAGCCCTGCTCCATTGCAGCCCTGCTCTATTGCAGCCCTGCTCCATTGCAGCCCTGCTCCACTGCAGCCCTGCTGCATTACAGCCCTGCTCCATTGCAGCCCTGCTCCACTGCAGCCCTGCTGCATTACAGCCCTGCTGCATTACAGCCCTGCTCTATTGCAGCCCTGCTCCATTGCAGCCCTGCTCCATTACAGCCCTGCTCCACTGCAGCCCGGCCCCATTGCAGCCCCGTTCCACTGCAGCCCCCACACCCAACCATGCCCAGCTCTCCCACAGCGCAGCTCCTCGCCCCGCGCCTCCCACGTGCTGCAACGTGCCAGACGGAGCTCGGCAGCAGGTCTGGCAGAGATGTCAGCCTGCAAAGCACCCGGGGGAGGCGCTGCCATTGTCAGCAGCGTCCTCCTACCTGGGCACAGAGCGCACCCAGAGCTGCGTCCTGGCACAGCTCTGCTCTGCGCCGCAGCGCCCAGCAGTGCTCCACGCACCTGAGCAATCCTACCAACCACCTGCAGACGTGGAGCCCGTCAGGCTCCCACAGTTGCTGTTGCGCTCCTTCTGTTCCCAACTGATGCTTTTCTTCACGATACGAGGTTTTTTCCTAACAGGGTGCCCCCAAAAGACACCCGAAACGCTGCTGAGCGCAGCGCTAAGTTGGACCCCAAAAGGACCTCGGGAGGGCGAGCCGTGGGGCAGCGGGAAGCTCTGGGATTTCTAGGAGGACAAACACAAAATCCTGCAGCTAGAAGGAAGAACCCATTGGGAGCAGACAGGGGGAAGGATGGACTGGGAAAGAACCCCAGTGAGCTGAGGGTGCACCGAGCTGCACGGGGCAACACCTGCTCTGCATCCAAAGCAGCACAGCAGAGCAAAGGAGGGCATCTGCACCCCTGCTCTGCAGATGGGGAGGGCTCAGCACAGGAGGGACGCGGAGCTGTAGGAGCTCAGCCAGAGGAGGGCCAGAAAAATGGCCCAAAGGATGGAACAGCTCTCCTGTGGGGATGGGCTGAGGCTGTGCAGATGGAGAGGAGAAGGCTGCGAGGGGACCTGAGAGCAGTCTGTCGGTATCCAAAGGGGCGCTGCAGGAAAGGAGGGGATGGACTATTGGGCAAGGTCTGCGGTGATGGAATGAGGGGAAATGGCTTCAAGCTCAAGGAGGGGAGATTCAGGTGGGATATAAGGGAAAAGCCTTTCCTGGTGAGGGCAGAGAGGCACCGCACAGGCTGCACAGTGACTTTCAAGGCCGGGCTGGATCAGGCCCTGCCCTGGGCAACCCGATGGAGCTGTGGTGTCCCTGTCCAAAGCAGGGAGCTGCACGAGCTGAGCTGTGAAGGTCCCTTCCAACGCTAAGGATCCAACGCTTTCATGGTTCTAATGTGAGCAGGACAACTGTGAGAGATGGAGCAAAGGGATTTCATCCCCCTCACCCACCACCGATGACGCTGCACTCGTGTCCAGTTCTGGGGCTCTTAATACAAGAATCGCGTCAACA